CAACAGGTGGGTCGTGAGCTCGACCACCCATCTAAAAAGAAATAAAATAAGATGTAGGTGTAGTAGCTTCAGGTTGCACCAGCGTAAATATTAGTCGGACAGACAAGAGACATTTCCGACAAATTATCTCAATTAGTCCCATAATTATGAATCCGCGGAACGGGCACGGCCGTTATTTATTACCACGTAATCGCATATAAGGAATGTGTCAGCGTTTCGTTTAAATTTACGTCGGTGACGCCATCTTGAATCACGCGTCCTTGTTGCCTCATTCGTAAGGCTTCGGAGCGACCGTATAATATCACATTAGCAAAGCCGTTGAATGCGAAATTGACTGATCCGACGTTTGCTTGTTATACCTGCATCTATCAAGTTACTATTATAATTTTATTGGGTAGACCGGCAACTTGCCCGAAAAGGGGGCGTACATCCCGAGCAATTTGAATGTTATCATCGACATAGAGACACTTGTCAGAATATCGACTGCTCTTCCGGTCGGAAAGTGCCGGAACGTATGCATCATAAATAGATAATCTGTGATAATAATACGTATGGGTCTATCACACTTCAGGAAGACAATTTACGGCTAGTAAGAGTACTATTTGAATTTATTAACCGAATCAAATACTTTTCAAATATTTACGGCTGTATCTGTAACGAGCTTACCAAGATAACGAGAATTAGTCATAAGTGTTGAGTGAACCAACCGGGTGACTGCTTTTACGAATTCTGATTAAAACGATATCTTAATCGCTACAGCTTAACATTGATTACGTAATTTTTTACTACTTAGTATGGTTTCAATCTTAAAACTCAACCGCGAATAATGTAATAAAAATATTTAATTAATCTGACTCGATTTTAATTGGAGGTTCTGCCTTATAGGATAAGGGGCTTGGTGTACTCGAATAAAGCGTTGCGACAATGCTGCAAGTGTACAAATACCCTACAGATATTCCTGTGACTTCCACGATGTAGGAATAATAACGCGTATATAATAAAAAATGTGTAATTACTGTTATTAGGACGTATTGAATCACGGACGGGTAGTTACTGCCATTCTGTCTATTGCTACCGTAAATAAAGGGTGGGACAACTATTATATAAAGCTATTGAGACTTCGAGCTCATAACGTCTTGAGGTGGGTGGTGCATTCACGTTATAATGTCGATGGGTTCCGTTAATAACACAACCGCCGGGAATCGTTCAATTCTTAAATTGTATTGGACATTTAGAATTATCTAGAATTATGTTTTCATCGCGACAGTATAGGCAGGCTATGTGTGAGTTCATCTACGTTTATAACTGGGAAAATTTTACGTGCCGGCTTAAAGCGTGGGCGCGCTGTTTATATGGGCCATGCACGCCGTTGCCGAATGACTCCATCGAGCTTACCCTCAGTTGACCTGCGTTTACGATTACCGATTTGATTGTGTGGCATTTATGGCTTAATTGCCCCATGCTTTTGACTTTACAGTCGTATTTAAGGATTGTGGCTTTACAAACATTGGACGGAAACAAAGGTTCGTATTGTCATAATTTTAATGGGAATCACGTGTCGCATCACTTTGGTAGATAATATTATTTTATCTGATTTGTAATTGTGTTAACCCAAAACAGAAACAACCTTAATAGATGCTGAATAAGAGAACAGAATACTTTGAATCTGAACAAGTATTGAATTCACTTGGATAATTCCTCATTTTCACAAGTTTAGAAATGTCGTTAAAAAAACTACAAGTGTACTTTTAGAATTCGCCAGGGTTATAATTGCTCCCCGCGCACCTATTTAAAGTTCTATGTGGTCTTGCTTCTCTGAGGAAGAATAAAATAAATTTTATTGACCATTAAATAACATGTGCATTCCATTGTAAAATGTACTGATAATTTGAACAAACTACTCACTTACTAATAAAAATGTTATATATACATATGTATTATACTTATCAACGCTAATATAATGAAACTAAAAATTATTAAAAAAAATATTAAAATAATGTTTTAAACCGCGGTTGCAGATACTCTCAATACCTGACGCTGAAGAGATAAATTTCGAAGAAGATAAATTTGTAATAAATTTTATAAAATACACGCAATCAGTATAATCATTAACAGTAATGACTGTTTTCATAATCTAAGTGTAAAAACCTAATATGAATCGCAATATTTCGATGATATGTTTATTGTGTCAGAAATCAAAACAAACCTAACTTCTTAGTGACGCGGAATGCTGTGTGAACCATGCAAAAATAATAAATACGACGCCATCGGCGCTGGGTTCAAGGAGACAGAACCGTTGTTGCTCCCACACGCTACAGAAACACAGACTGAAACAAATATCATAACACATCGCCGTCTGTGTTTATATGTAAATACAAGAACGGCCTACTCGAAAGGTTGAAATGCAACGGAAGATTCGATTCGAGGCTTGTTTTTGCCTTTGTACTAATGTTATCAAAATAACAAGGATATTTGACTCACAGTAATAAATTACAAAACATTTACTATGTATCCATTTGGAAATGTGTTTCTGAATCATTCACACGATCAATCGTTTCTCATACTGAACCGGATCGATAGTAAACCTGTCGACGTAGTCATTAGTTAACGGTTGACAACTGACAGTAGTGTCCCAGGTGGCAAGACACGGAATGCAAGATGCAGTGTGTGAAACGCTCGTGTATTTATAGATCACGAACGAACCGCCTCGCAAAGGTTGACCAGAATTAGAAAGCCAAACTTAACTTGCACTTATTTTTGCAACGCGGCTTGGCGAGCGTTCACCCTTGTCACATTAAAATGCTGATTCTATCAAAAAGCTAGACAATTGGAATCGCCATTATAACTTTAGATACTTTGACGCTTCAATTCGCGTATCTTCACCAATTTATCTGGTTTATTTGTACGCAATAGCCATCATTAGGTAAACTGAGTGTTATAAGTAATCAATCACCAATGGACAACATCGCCACAAGACAAAAACGTAATGTGTACGTTTTATCATTTAGACTTGACATTCACATCCGATCATATTATTGTTGTTTTAAAAAATGCCAAAGCGACCGCATAAAACAAAGTGCATTGAATTTTCACAATTGCGTATTATTATTTCGAGTAGTCTAATGATAATTCGAAGATTATGGGATTAGATTTTATAGAATAGAAAATAATGTTTCTTGGAATGTTTCGACATGTTAATATTGGATATTGTAGCTTCACTTAGACGTTTTAATGAGCATAAACAGATGCGGTTATTGGGGCTCATAAATTATTGGATTTCCCGTTCAAACGCATCCGACAGCTTGTTGATGTTGAGTAACGCAAGTTTCGCGTTTGCCGCTTTTCATTTTATATTCAACTGATCGTACTAGTTTAAATTATTTATGACGCTTATTATCATATGTTTTTTTTATTACCCTTGTAGGCTGACAAGCATAAGACCCACCTGATAGTGATGGTGGTTACCATCGCCCATGGACGTCAGCAATGCCAGGGCCAGAGCCAAGCCGCTGACTACAATTTATTATCATATGTAATTAGTTGTACGATTCTATGTTTGATCCTTTGTTTATTTTGCTTGTGTGGAACGCTACACAAATAATTATTACTAAAACCTTCCTACAAACGCGTGCTAACAACTTATCTATCACTTTAAATCCTGTATTCAAATTTTATATTTCGGAGTTGTTTAAATAGCCGTTACTTTTCTATTCTAGTTTTCTAAATACGAAATGGTGTACTCATTTTAGTAGCTATTTAAAGACACTGCTTCATAATTTAACGTTTCAAAACTATTGACAGTAATAGATATGGTTTGGTGTTAAAACGTGCATAAATTATTCACAAAGTCCAATTTGTTTTGTACTACGACCCACGCGATCTATTTTATGATTCGTGATCGAAATCTTTAAGCTCCATATACTGCCAAAATAAATATAGTTCCATCTAGCGAACTAGGAGAACATGCCAAATACAATTTACTAGTGTACGTAGTGTACTTGGTCAGACTGTTGACTACCAACAAAAATATACAATCTAATATTCCAATCTGAAGATCATTAGAATCGACTAACAATTTGAACTTCGAAACTAACGCACGTTCTTTGCCTTGATTATCATTCAACACCAGCTAAACAGATTGGAAGTCTGAGTAAACTACCACCAAAAGTAATATTTGGGCTGCCGTTAACGAACTCTAAACTAATCCTAAATTACACCGCCTTTTCAACGATATTTGAGACTGACTCTTAATGCAAAAGTAAATGCAGTATAATTCCGAGTGCTGTTTTCGTATTTATTATACGAAGAAAAACTAGTTGTTGATAACAACACGTCTTTGCTTAGCGAAAGTCCCGAGTCACATCGTAACACGTTACGTGTCGTCTGATTTCACTTTGTTTTCTACCGATGAAATGTTAATGCGTTATAGAAAATTGGGGTTTCTTTGTTTAAAATGTTTCTCGCCTCGTGCTTTTTTCCCCCGAAAGTCATTACTCGGACCCTGAACATTGTTTTGGAGTCCCAATTAATACAATTGCATTAAAACTGCTCAATAAATAGCACAATCCAATAATATTCTGTAATCTCTTTCTTCCGTACAACGTATTCAAGTCGCTAGTTTACAGGATTGCGTTGAATCACACAAATCGTCCTAATATTTTAAAACTACCCACAAAGCGTATTTTTACAAGACAACAGAACGACTAATACGAATTAACGTGTTAATAATGTTGTTTTATGCCGCGATAAATCCATCACTGTGGACACCTGGACACGTAGAAATCTTCCATACATCTTTATAAATTGACTCTGGAATACTCCAGGGCGCATCTGTTGTCGATCCGCTTTGAACACAGTGTTTTATTTTAAACACCGATGGTTCGCAATAATATTGTCCATCATGTTTGATTTCTCAACGAAGTTTTGAACGTTAGATTCGCCATAATGTACATACTTTGATTTTCACAATAATGCTAATTTTAATAATCGTTGAATTTCAGGAAACGGCACGATAGACTTTCCCGAGTTCTTGACAATGATGGCGCGCAAGATGAAGGACACGGATAGCGAGGAAGAAATCCGCGAGGCCTTCCGCGTCTTCGACAAGGACGGCAACGGCTTCATCTCCGCGGCCGAGCTGCGCCACGTCATGACCAACCTCGGAGAGAAACTCACTGACGAGGAGGTCGACGAGATGATTCGCGAGGCCGATATCGACGGCGACGGCCAGGTCAATTACGAAGGTGAGCTCTCCGCAGAGTAGTAGTAGTGTTCACGCTTCCAGTCTTGTACACCTGAGCAAAACCAGTGAATAGATGTGCCCTTTGTTCCTGCTTGTAGTGCATCCAAGTTTGGCGGTTCGCTAAGTGTGTTTCATCCGTTTATTGAAAAATGATTTCCGATTACGCGCTCCAGAATAGTGCGCTTTGAAATGGTTAATGGTTTTCGTTCGCATTATTTTACATTCATAAACCTGTCGAAATCGCCTATTTGTTAGTTTTGCTCTGCTTGTCTGTCATTTGTATGTGGAATGTACAGGCTGTGCTTTTTGAAGTGATTTTCACAGTAAATTTGAATACATTAATTAGTCGTGCAAACGTATAACTTTTGTTTGTACGAATGTCTAGTGTGATTTTCGCTTTGAACACAGCTTAACAAATATTTTGGGATCTTTGTTTTTATTCAAAAATGTCAGTAGTATCGGATCCCAAATTGTAAATGTGATTTGGGTCTTCGTTACGCTGTTATTGTAGCCATTATTGATGTGAAATAAACGTAATGAAGGCCCTGCCGGAAATGAAAAGATACAACTAGACGTGTTGTACTACGCAAGCACCTCTCGAAGTAAAGCGGGCGCGCAGTGAGGCTCGGTCCAGCATGTCGATAGACCCCACCGCACGAACTAACGCCAACCGTCGTGCTTGCCCGCCCCAATGCTCCGCCATTTATTTATAAACTGACTCGACATTATACTTCTCGTAAAATCATTTTTGCTCAGTAATCCCACGCGTCGTGTAGACTTGATTTACGAACACCATGTTCGCGTTGATCTCTTTGAAAGCGAGACGTTGATTAATTTATTGAGTTATTGTTTGAAAGCGGCGGTCGGGCGGTGCTCGAGGAGCCGCCCGCCCGGCCGCCGGCGCTTCGCATGTGCCGCCTGCGTCTGTCTGCATGCGTCTACTGCCGGCTAGAGTTGGTGGACCGTATCATCCGACCGAGCGTTCTCTCTCTTGCAGACTTCCATGCACTCGCCCAAATCATATTCGGTCGCGGCGAGGGCGGCCGCTAGCGCTCGCGCACCATCCGCAATCGTGATATTAGTACACTAGCATCACTAGCATCACTAGTGTCCATAAGAAAAGACTACGATAACGCTGTGATCTCGAAACGATTTCCTCTTGTAGTGTGTAGCGATCGGTGCGATTGTCGGACGGCGTGCGGCGAGTGCGGTGCGATTATAGGTATACCCCAGTCTTAATCTGAATGGTTTGCTGCTCGTCATTACATGTACCTGCCTTGGACACGTTAGCCGCTCCCCGCTCTCCGTCCCCCTCTCTCCGCCCCCTCTCTCTCTCTCTCTCGCTGTTCGTCGATCCTGTCTCGCGCGGGGCACGGTCGACCCTTTCCTATTGATTGGTGCATGCGTCTAATATTTGTATATAAGTTTTTCCAAGAGAAATACCACCTGGCGATATCGAGGGGCGCTTCCCGCCGCGTCGCGCTTACGTTAGAGGGTGGTATTTCCCACAGTCCCTTGTAGTGGCATGCCGAGGTAACGTTTATGTTCCAGTACGTTGTTAGCGCGCGCCGCGTCGGACTCACCGCCTCCGCTGATCTGTCCGATAGCTGTTATTAGTGCATCTCTATCACTGTCGGTTATTTTTTCGTTGTGTGTAATATTTTTGTGTTAACACTCTTATCTTAGCCACGTCACGTTATGCGAGGTGGGTCCGCGTGCGGCCGCGGCGCGTGATGATGCCCCAGGGCGACTTGTAATGCCTGCGTTCTGCTTCTGTTTTCAGAGTTCGTCACCATGATGACGTCGAAGTGAGCCGCCGGCTAGTGTGTGTGTAAAAAGCAGAGAATTTAAATATACATTTTGTTTCATGACACACAATATTAGCATCGTATTGGACCTGCATTTCTCTAGTGTTTGCGATAAATTAAATACTGTCATCGTTTCAGTTAGGAAGTTCGCGCGGCGGCGCGGGCGGCCCCTCGCCCCCCGCCCCGCCCCCTCTTTTTATTTAGATTTAAAGTATTCCGTTAATTTAACTATGTAAGAGAAGTTTAACTGTAGCGGTACAAAGGGAAGACGTCCGGTGTGCGTCGCAATGTGATGGTATAAGTGTCGGGCTCGTGTCGGCTCCTAACTTATATTTGTGTATATGTGTGCGTGCGTGCCTCTGTGCGCGGCGCCCGCACCTTCCGATGCATACACTATATATATTTATAAAGTACGTGAGAAAAAAAATCATTGGAAAATCCCAAAAAAATGTGTATTCTGTGTCCGCAAGTAGCCAGCCCGAGGCGACGCCTCGCTCGCTCGCTCCGTGTACATTCATTAATGTAATAAATGTTTAAAAAATTTAACTAACTCGGTTAAACGAATAAATTAGATTTATCGATACTGCATTGTAATTGTATTTGTGTAAATGACTTAATAAAATATTATTATATTTCTATTGTTGGTAAAAACTTAATTCTATCGAAATGGAAAGTAAATCCGCTCTGTTATTATCTTACCACGTTTGATTCATTCTGTTATAAAATTTTACAAAAGACATACTGAAAATAAATGTTTCTTCATTTTTAGGTCAATAAGGATCGGTGTTTCATTTCACGGAACCTCCACCCCACCCCCAACCCCCACCCCTTCTTCACTTTTATTTAATGTCACCTATTGTGTCTGTGCACCTCTAGTTTTAATCCCGTTTGTATGCGGTCCATGGTCGTCTTCGCGGCGACTATTATTAATTAGTTTTATTGTTATTTAAGGCTATGTGAATTATTTTTTTGTATAATAATGAAGTACATATTATGTAATAATTTATTTGTTTATAAATCTAATAAAACTTATGCCATTTCAGGTTTATTGGATTGTTTTAAATTCAACCTGATATTATTTAATTTAATTATTTTTTAATTTAAATTTATAACTAAAATTGTGACTGAGAATACATTAACAATATCCATAAACTTCCCACACAGAGGGAACATCATTCATGTTGTTTTAGCCCACTGAATTTCACAGTGGGTGGAGTATCCGACCCGGTGGTAGATTCTGCAAAGCACTGTTCTTGCTAGGGTCAGTGTTAGCATCACTCCGGTTTGAGCCCCGTGAGCTCACCTACTAGTTAAGGTTACGCTGAAATAGCCTCTCTCAGCTTAGGTAGGAAAAAAAATATAGATTTCAGCGAACATACTTTTAGGCCAGCGAACATTTCAGGGAAACATTCTGTTCGGAATTGGTCCCAGATATCAAGCGACTTCGGTCGGTAGCAATCTCTCATAAACTTTGATGATGATTAATACAGATATTAACGCGGGTGTTGATTCGGATGAGGTCCGCCGCGATGACGTCACTCACGGACACTTCTCCAGTAACAAGTTAAAAACATTTTTATAGAATTGAAGAAGCCCTCTGAGCTAAACATCGTAAAAAGTAGCCACCTTATTTATTAACATGAGCACCTTTCTCTTTCGAGTGTTTTACAAGATAGGTAGATATCTTGTCAATATTCATTCTGGTGGCAGTTGAGGCCTACGTGATGTTTCATTTCAATTGGCTTGTAATGACGGCCATTTCACTATCTGAACACTGATTATTTAACAGTCAAGATAAGATATTATATTGACATCGTCCAAGTCTTCATAGTTAATATTTTGGAGGTAAACGACAGAAGGAAGATCTTCCACCGTTCCTAATATTATTACTCTGAATTTGCATATATGCAAATTTATCTTGAAAATGTCGTTCGTAAAATTCAGGTATCTGTCATATATCTTTTGTTCTATGATGGCTGCCCGCTACCATATAATTTTATACAAACTAGTGGTCACTCAGTAGTCGAAATTCGACTATAATTAATTGAAATTATTAGTTTGAACATTATTAGGTCCTATTGTCAAAGACACTTCTGATCACAGATTTCGTCAAGACTACACTATAGACACAATATTAATCTATTCTCAAATTAACCACAGACTATAAACAATAACAAAAGTTTGACAATAAACAAAAGAGTATACCTATATGCGTGTGTATGTGCCAAACCAATTTTTTTTTATATTTATTTAGAACCAGCGCAATTTTCGTAAAAAGGGGTATGGACAGTTTTTGCTTTACGTATTAATATAACTATACTAATATTATAAAGAGGAAAGATTTGTTTGTTTGTTTGTATCGAATAGGCTCCGAAAGTACCTACTGAATCGATTTGAAAAATTCTTTCACCTGTTTAGAAGCATCACTATTCCCGAGTGACATAGGCTATATTTTTTTCTAAAAAAAATTAGGGATCCTTACTAAAACTCCAATAATGTAACCCAAGGTGTAAAAAATTCCTAAAATATTCTTTACATCGCGTGCCCTGCGAAGACTATTGATGATAGAATAAAATAATGTACTACGACATTATAGAACACATTATTATTTACAAAAAGTGTCGCGACAGCATATGTAACTATTATAGTTATGCCGCAATAAGTGTTCTTTTATTTAAAAAAAATAAAATAACGTCAAATATCGTTGAAATTTTGTTAAAGACCCGAGCGGAGTCGGAGCGGGCCGCTTGTAGATAAATAAAAACATGATTTATAGACGTTCAAATAATATATTAGGTGTTTGAATTAAAACTCGCAACAAGTAGATGTAGTCGGTAGCTCTAGGGCGCGGCGGCCAGGCGCTGCAGCAGCGCCACGAGCGTGCGCGCCGGGCGGCCCGTCATGCGGCGCGCGGACAGGTAGGGCGGCGCCGAGCCGTGCGCCAGCTTGCCCACGCCCGTCGTGTCCACGTGCAGCCACGAGCAGCACACGAAGCTCTGCGGACATGCCCGCCTTAACACAGTGGTAGTGTAATGTTGTACTTTGGGAGGCGTTAAAGGAAAACGTCTTGCGTGTATTACATGTTTAATAATCATCTTAATCCTAGTTTATAATTATGAAGAAGCCTGTTTCTGGGTAGTCCGCCTTATTAGGGGGACATACGAGATTACACCTATTAATTATGTTTTATACTAAATGCTATGCTATAATATACAAGTATACACACTTCAGTAGGACCTCTTGTGAGTCCGCACGGATAGGTACCACCACCCCGCCTACTTCTGCCGTGAAGCAGTAATGCTTAGGTTTGAAGGGTGGGGCGCGGTTGGAAACCTTATAACTCATATCTCAAGGTGGGTGGCGGCATTTACGTTGTGGATGTTTATGGGCTCCAATAACCACTTAACAACAGGTGTGCTGTGAGCTCGTCCACCCAACTAAGCAATAAAAAAAATAGACATAATTATGACAACTTTGACGGTTTTACCTCCCATTCATTATTTGACTTTCCGAATATATAAACTAAACTATACTCCGCTAGTGCTCCATCTCTCAGTACAACCTCCTGCAGCGGGGAGTGTACTTCAATTTGTTTACTATATCAATATCTAGAATTTGTACTTCACTAACCTTTAAGAACGCAGCCCCGAGACAAGAGGTAGCTTTGCCGGAACCTTTATTCCTCAAGTCCACTGAAGGGTCATCTGTCACATGAAATATAATTATTTTATAACTGGTCCGAGTCGATTGTCTTTCTTGTGGAAAGTTTGTATGTCAGTATATAAACTCGCGTTGAACACAAGTGTAGCTCGAGATCGGGAAGGCTGTCTACTCTGAATGGGAAACATACTGATTGACTTATTTGGAATTAAAAACTTCCTTGAAAGTACATAATCGGGCAGATACTCTTGTAGTAGTATAAATAATGTAATAAGAATCCTTTCATATTGAGGCCCCACTAAAATAAGAAACTGTTAGGTCAGTATTATGGAGAGTAGAGGTAAGGAGAACCGTCCCATATGGGAGAAGCTTGAAAAAGTGTCACTTTCAGCACTAAATAATAGTTCAAAAATCCTCCAAAATGGCGCCAGCATAGGCACAGGGTATGATAATGTGAATTATTATTGAGCAGTTGTTAGCTGATGGAAGTATGCTGAGTTAGGAAATTTATTATATTTAATGACTACAGAAGTCAGTGACAGTGTAATATACAAGACCTCACATGTTTACGTAGTCCAAACTAATTTCGTCAATACAACCTAAAATTATTGCTGTGGTAAAACGTGGAGACATCGATTGCATTTTCTTATCAGCTTTAAATAACATACTTTTTGTGATTATGTAGTGCTTACAGTTCTTTCGTCCTTTTTTATTTCTCTATCTTATTCTAATAACTTTCAGCGCCTTTTTTTAAATTTACCCGGTTGCTACTGTAGCGTCACCCTTATTTAGCAGACTTCAACGGACACTTTTTACACAGAGACGGTTCTTCTTATCTCTACCCTCCATAGTCTGTATAATGGTTGAATTTATAATGTTTTATATCTCTTTAGAGTGTTCTAACGGTCTATCGAGCTGCAATAGAGGTTTTAACAGGTTTTTTTTTTTATATTGAGTGATGTACATCGTGTTCGATAGATGGTGCTGTGCAGGCATGGACCGACAGACCCGGGTCGCGATCCTCTGAAAAGTAATAATGTAGCGCCAAAGACTTTCACCATACCTATTGGGCTTTGTAGCAAAATAAATTTATTTTTAATTTGAAAAGTTAAAGTCATATAATGTATGCACGAAGTTGAAAACTATCGACATGTCCAATGGCCCCTACTATATTATACTGCAGCGGTCGCAAAGACCGTCCAACTTGGACACGACAATGTCTGTGCGGCTTGATCTAGTGCTGCCGCTCGGAGCGATTTTTTAATTTTTTTATTATTGCTTAGATGGTTGGACGAGCTCACAGCCGATCTGGTGTTAAGTGGTTACTGGAGCCCATAGACATCTACAACGTAAATGCGCCACCCACCTTGAGATATAAGTTCTAAGATCTCAGTATAGTTACAACACGTGCGGAGAGACTGACCGGTGATCTGGCGGCGGTAGTAGTCCCAGAGCGGCAGGCGCCAGGCGCGGTCGCCGGAGCGCGCGCCCGCCGCCGTGACGTCACGCCACAGCGCCTCGCTCTCCGTGTAGCAGCCGCACGCCGCGCCGCCCAGCGCCTGCAGCACGCCCTCTGCGCGCCCCCACCCGCCGCTTGTATACCAGTAGCCAACAACGAAACACGATGCCAAAGAAGTCGTGGCCTAAAGGATCAGACGTCCGGTGCGGTCGTGTCGAACGATGCACCGGTGTTCCAATCCCGCAGGCGGGTACCAATTTTTCTAATGAAATACATACTTAACAAATGTTCCCGATTGACTTCCACGGTGAAGGAATAACATCGTGTAATAAAAATCAAACCTGCAAAATTATAATTTGCGTAATTACTGGTGGTAGGACCTCTTGAATCCGCGCGGGTATGTACCACCACCTCGCCCATTTCTGCCGTGAAGCAGTAGTGCCTTTCGGTTTGAAGGGTGGGGCAGCCGTTGTAACTATAGGTACTGAGACTGTAACCATATCTCAAGGTGGATGGCGCATTTACGTTGTAGATGTCTATGAGCTCCAGTAATCACTTAAAACCAGGTGAGCTGTGAGCTCGTCCACCCATCTAAAAAATAAAAATAGAAAGTTCTATAAATAGGTAGACCCTGGATGCTGGGGTGCTTGGTCGCATCCTTTTCGTCGACCTCCGGACAGAGTACTATTAGATTTGATGTCGATTACAGACCAAGAATTTAGTCTCAGTGAGGCTGAGCTAAGACATCTGTAGATAAACACGTCATTTCGGATCCTCCCGATCCACTAACGGTGCTTTTAGGTACCTCAAGCACCGGTCATCGTTCTCGTCGAACCCGTCGCTTGCGACGAAGAGCTCGACGAGTAAATTAACCCTCAGACACAGTCCACTGAGTTTCTCGCCGAATCTTCTCAGTGGGTCGCGTTTCCGATCCGGTGGTAGATTCTGCAAAGCACTGCTTTTGCTAGGGTTTAGTCTTAGTAACGTCGTCAGGTTTATGCCCCGTGAGCTCACCACCTATTAATGCTATGAATCTAGAATAACCCCTCGAGGTTACTAGAATAGGTAGGATAAATAATAAAAGCGTTGTGTTGTAGTGTACACAGCGAGTAAGTTTTATCAGGATAGGTCCCATACTGGTGAAAGTGGCGACGTCTATGACGAGCTCCGGCTTGTGGACGGCCTGCCCGTACACCAGAGCGTCGGCCAGCATCAGCCGGCCCTCCATGTCCGTGTCTTCGATCTGAACAACAATATCGACAATATCGTTTTTTAATTGATTAGGGGTGATTAGTCAACAATTTTGCAAGGAGGTGGAAACTGTGCATCACACACCTAATGATGTTTTTTATGACACCACGTTAGTTTGTATTGGTGTCGCTAGATATGTATATTATGCCTCTGACACCATTTCAATCTTTGTCTTCCTTTTTTTTTTCTTAATATTTAATATTCTTCGTCAAAGTGTCAACTATTGGTGCAGTGTCAATTACTGGTGGTTTTACCCTACATTGAGTGTGTAGCGGCTTAGCGAGGATAATAATGAACGTCTGTAGTAATAGTAACCCAGACTAAAGTGTATACAGGCTAGATACGTGCGCGCAGTGTTTTAGGATACCCAACAAGGGACGGTGAAATGCGGGTGACTCAAAAAATCCCATCCAAAAATCGAAGTACCGGGCCTGTGTTAATCCAGTGCAATCATTCTCAACGACTGCGCCGCAGTAACTTCGTATGTCGGTGAATTTTAGAAACATAAATATCTAGTTAACATGATCAATATAAACTACTTTACACAGTGTAGCAAGTAGGTACCTACCTACCTACCTAGGTACCTACCTATGGACGTAAACAACTTTTAGGTTTATCTTTACTGCCTTATCCGTGCTGCCACACCACTCGCTCGTCCTGGTCGTCGAACGACGACCAGGTATCGAAGAGTTTGGCAGTATTTGTCAGCAGATTGGGATGGATTGCGTGAGTTTTACGCATCCTACCCATGGGGGCGGTTCTGCTTTTCCTCTGCTGATCCTGACGTCTGTGCGGACCGTCTTAAAGACGTGGTGCTCCAGGGGATGGAATTGTTTATTCCCTCCTCTAAAGTGCCCGTTGGGGGTCGCAGCAGACCCTGGTATAACAATGCCAGCAGGGATGCTGCACACCTCAAGCGGTCCGCATACGTTGCATGGGATGATGCTAGGAGACGTCGGGATCCTAACATCTCAGAGGAAAGGCGGAAATATAACGCCGCTTCCAGGTCCTACAAGAAGGTTATTGCCAGGGCGAAATCGGAGCACGTTGCTAGAATTGGCGAGCGACTGAAGAGCTATCCCTCTGGGAGCCGTGCTTTTTGGTCGCTCGCCAAAGCTGCAGAAGGTAACTTTTGCAGGTCTAGTCTCCCACCACTACGCAAGTCCGATGACAGTCTGGCCCATAGTGCGAAAGAGAAGGCTGACCTTCTGGTCAAACTCTTCGCCTCGAACTCGACTGTGGACGACGGGGGTGCCACACCACCGAACATCCTCCGGTGTGATAGTTCCCTGCCGGAGATCTGCTTTACACAGTGTGCAGTCAGGCGGGAACTCCGACTCCTGGACGTCCATAAGTCGAGCGGGCCAGACGGCATCCCTGCAGTGGTTCTGAAAACGTGCGCCCCTGAGCTGACGCCTGCGCTAACGCGTTTGTATCGCCTCTCTTATTGCGCTAACAGGGTTCCGTCTTCATGGAAGACTGCCCACGTCCACCCTATCCCCAAGAAGGGTGACCGGTCGGACCCATCGAGCTATAGGCCTATCGCGATAACTTCCTTGCTTTCCAAGGTGATGGAGCGAATAATTAATATACAACTCCTGAAGTATCTGGAGGATCGCCAGCTGATCAGTGACCGACAGTACGGTTTCCGTCACGGTCGCTCAGCTGGCGATCTTCTTGTATACCTTACTCACAGGTGGGCTGAAGCCTTGGAGAGCAAGGGCGAGGCTCTTGCTGTGAGCCTTGATATCGCGAAGGCCTTCGACAGGGTCTGGCATAGGGCACTTCTATCGAAGCTACCATCTTACGGAATCCCCGAGGGTCTCTGCAAGTGGATCGCTAGCTTTTTGGATGGGCGGAGCATCACGGTCGTTGTAGACGGTGACTGTTCTGATACCATGACCATTAACGCTGGCGTTCCACAAGGTTCGGTGCTCTCCCCCACGCTTTTCATCCTGTATATCAATGACATGCTGTCTATTGATGGCATGCATTGCTATGCGGATGACAGCACGGGGGATGCGCGATATATCGGCCATCAGAGTCTCTCTCGGAGCGTGGTGCAAGAGAGACGATCAAAACTTGTGTCTGAAGTGGAGAACTCTCTGGGGCGAGTCTCCAAATGGGGTGAATTGAACTTGGTTCAATTCAACCCGTTAAAGACACAAGTTTGCGCGTTCACTGCGAAGAAGGACCCCTTTGTCATGGCGCCGCAATTCCAAGGAGTATCCCTGCAACCTTCCGAGAGTATTGGGATACTTGGGGTCGACATTTCGAGCGATGTCCAGTTTCGGAGTCATTTGGAAGGCAAAGCCAAGTTGGCGTCCAAAATGCTGGGAGTCCTCAACAGAGCGAAGCGGTACTTCACGCCTGGACAAAGGCTTTTGCTTTATAAAGCACAAGTCCGGCCTCGCGTGGAGTACTGCTCCCATCTCTGGGCCGGGGCTCCCAAATACCAGCTTCTTCCATTTGACTCCATACAGAGGAGGGCCGTTCGGATTGTCGATAATCCCATTCTCACGGATCGTTTGGAGCCTCTGGGTCTGCGGAGGGACTTCGGTTCCCTCTGTATTTTGTACCGTATGTTCCATGGGGAGTGCTCTGAGGAATTGTTCGAGATGATACCGGCATCTCGTTTTTACCATCGCACCGCCCGCCACCGGAGTAGAGTTCATCCATACTACCTGGAGCCACTGCGGTCATCCACAGTGCGTTTCCAGAGGTCTTTTTTGCCACGTACCATCCGGCTATGGAATGAGCTCCCCTCCACGGTGTTTCCCGAGCGCTATGACATGTCCTTCTTCAAACGAGGCTTGTGGAGAGTATTAAGCGGTAGGCAGCGGCTTGGCTCTGCCCCTGGCATTGCTGAAGTCCATGGGCGACGGTAACCACTTACCATCAGGTGGGCCGTATGCTCGTCTGCCTACAAGGGCAATAAAAAAAAAAAAAAAAAAAAAAAAAATCTTTTTCCTTCTGTGCCTTCAAATTTTGTAATCGTTATAAGTGTGCAGTGAAAAAAAAGTTCATAATCACTGGTCTAATCACTAACTTTACTGGTGGTAGGACCTCTTGTGAGTCCGCACGGGTAGGTACCACCACCCCGCCTATTTCTGCCGTGAAGCAGTAATGCGTTTCGGTTTGAAGGGTGGGGCAGCCGTTGTAACTATACTGAGACCTTAGAACTGGGGGGATATCTCAAGATGGGTGGTGGCATCTACGTTATAAATGTCTATGCGCTCCAGTAGCCACTGAACACCAGGCGGGCCGTGAGCTCGTCCACTCATCTACGTAAAAAATAAATAAAAAACTCAAGGATCGTTGTTTGATTGAATTGAAACTACAGATTTAGTGGAACTTTAGTGAAAATGTCCCCGTATCAATGTACGCAATTGTGGATGGTGCGGTAGTCGGCACTAACGGCTGCTTTTCAAACAGCCACAGCGAAGTCACCGAGAATCAACAGTTAGTTATAGAACGGCTCAAAGTTGTTCGCGACGAAATGTATCGCGGGAGTGCGCAGTTGTAAAATAGCAATACGTAATTAAATGGATTTTTTTTTATTGCTTAGATGTGTGGACGAGCTCACAGCCCACCTGGTGTTAAGTGGTTACTGGAGTCAATAGACATCTACAACGTAAATACGCCACCCACCTTGAAATATAAGTTCTAAGGTCTCAAGTATAATTACAAGGGTTGCCCCAGCCTTCAAACCGAAACGCATTACTGCTCCACGGCAGAAATAGGCAGGGTGGTGGTACCCACCCGTGCAAACTCACAAGAGGTCCTACCACCAGTAACAGTAAGTTGTTCGCGACGAAACGTATCGCGGGAGTACGCTGCCGGACTCGACGGTGGGAGCATCAGTGCAAGCTTCTAGTGTATTTTGTCAAATAGCAATGCGTAATTAAATGGATCTGCTCTTGTTTGCCAAGTAAAAGACCTCGAACCTGGATGGAGAGTCCGTTGAGAGCTCTGACGACGTCTCCGACCTTCATGCACTGTCCGCTCACCATGTTCTCGCATATCGGTATGACTGCGCAAACATTGATAGGCACCTGCAAACCGTAACGGACTTTACCTCCCTCGTCAGTTTCTAACGAAATAGCCTACTTTTGATTAAAACGCCCTGCTTCGCCATAAAAATTGGGCAGGACGCTGGTAGCATCCCGAGCTGAGTCCAATGTGACCCTACTACTAAGACAGTCCCCTCCTCGCGTCGTTTTCCTCATTACTTAGGGTCGTAACTCCCCGCTGCATCAGTTTCTCCCGTACGATTTCCCTCCATCTGCTGCGATCCTTAGCTTCATGAAGGGCATTGTGGAAGTTGATGTTTAAAGACGATCGTATTTGGTCCGACCATCTCGTGGGACTATCACTATCAGCTGTTCTAAATTGTGACCCTCTTCACGAGAAATATGTCCGAAGAATTCCAGCACCCTACGAAGGCACTAATATACTAAGGTGAAGGTACTAAGACAGTAGTAAATTTTAATATTTAGGTTAGCTTGATGCTCCAAGAGCCGGGGCTAGCGCGACCCTCGCCTGCTGAGCGAGGGCGGCTGGCAGTGAGCGCGCACCTGCAGCTCGGCGAGGGCCCGCAGCGCGCCCAGCACGGCGGCGGCGCCGGCCATGCTACCGCGGTTCTCCACCATGCTCTCCCGCTTCTTCAGACACAAGCCACCGCTACGAACCGCAACCAACATTGTATTAACACCCGCGTGAATGACGAGGACTGCACTACTCTTCATCACACAAATGAAAATATTGGTTTATTTATTGCTTAGCTGGGTGGACGAGCTCACCGCCCACTTGGTGTTAAGTGGTTACCGGAGCCCATAGACATCCAGAGCGTAGATGCTGCCACCTACCTTGAGATATAAGTTCTAAGGTCTCAAGTATAGTTACAACGGTTGCCCCACCCTTCAAACCGAAGCGCATTACTGCTTCACGGCAAAAGTAGGCAGAGTGGTGGTACCTACCAGTCTGGACTCATAAAACGTTCTACTACCAGTAATGTATCTATGATGTATCTTTTCTTTTCTAAATTTTGTTCGTTTTTTTTCTATTTAGCGTTAGCCTCAACTACGAGTATATAAATACTGATTAGTGTCGACTATCGAGTCTTTCGATTTAAGTAACGTGTAGATGATTTCTCCGACAAAAAAAAGACTATTTATTGAATCAGACTCTTTATTAGTAGTAGAAAATTTTAAAGCAATAACTGGGAGTGCACGTCAGAGATACACATTATCATGTAAGATCGGTCTTAACCTAATAGCAATCATTTATACTTTTTTACAAATTCACCTGTCAAAAGTGACTCCTTTAGCGGCTATAACCACTGGAGGCCGAGATTCCTTGTCTCCTCGGTAATTACATTCCAAGAAGATGGGTTCCTCACATGACCCTCGGGCTACGGTGAGGAACGCCTGCATGTTCTGTGCCTCTATCCACTCGCGCTCTCTGGCTTCCACGGTAACCCCCAGAGGACACAGCGTGTCTAATGCTGCCTGTCCATATGCAGGGTGAAAGTAACAAAACGGGAATTTATTTTACGAAAATTTTTTTTAATTTTTTTTATTGCTTTTTATTGCTTAGATGTGTGGACGAGCTCACAGCCCACCTGGTGTTAAGTGGTTACTGGAGCCCATAGACATCTACAACGTAAATGCGCCACACACCTTGAGATATAAGCTCTAAGGTCTCAGTATAGCTACAACGGCTGCCCCACCTTTCAAACCGAAACGCATTACTGCTTCACGGCAGAAATAGGCGGGGCGGTGGTACCTACCCGTGCGGACTCACAAGAGCGGTCCTACTACCAGTAATTACACAAATTATAATTTTGCGGGTTTGATTTTTATTACACGATGTTATTCCTTCACCGTGGAAGTCAATCGTGAACATTTGTTGAGTACGTATTTCATTAGAAAAATTGGTACCCGCCTGCGGGATTCGAACATCGGTGCATCGCTACATACGAATGCAACGGACGTCTTATCCTTTAGGCCACAACGACTTCAAATTGTGTTGTGGTGTTGTATTGTCTGTGTACTTCGGTAACTGCTTAACAACAGACGAGCTAATTCATTTGTTTAAGCATTATAAGAATATTTAAAGTTCGGAAAATATTGTTCATTTACCAAATAAACATAAATACTCGTCGATTCCGTAAGTTTTATATAACAACAAACCGCAACGTACTGAAAAACGAGACATCTGCGTTCCAACCTCGTGCCTCATAAGACTGATTGTTTGTGACACGCGTGAGTCAAGGGTACTAGGGTGTTATCGCAATACAATATAAGGTACTGTGGGAGTTCGAAAACATATCGACGCTACCTTTTTGACAGGGGGAGCGTCGAGAAACAATACGTATTTTTTAAACCCCCAAACATCTTTTTTTTCTTTTTTTTCCTACCTATGCTGATATCCTTCATAGGCTATTTCAGCTTCGCTCTAACGTGTGTAGGTGAGCTCGCGGGGCTCAAACCGGAGTGTTGCTAACACTGACCCTAGCAAGAGCCGTTCTTCGCAGAATCTACCACCGGATCGGAAACGCGACCCACTGAAAAGATCCGACGAGAAACTCAGTGGGCTATCCCCCCCTCCAAATACTAGCGAGGAGGTGTTGTCAAATAAGTATTGTGAAAACGGTGAAAGTAACATCGATAGCGTTTTTGTTCTTACCTGTCCAAGATCTATAGGAGTCATTTTATTAGCGGGCATGTCGGACAAGAACCTCGCCCAGTTCTGCGCTCGACCGAGCACCGAGCCGGCGTGCCACGCGCCCCCGGGGCCCTCGCCCCCCGCCTGCCCGTGCAGCGACAACCTGCACGCGGGCTGACGCTCCTCTACCGATCTGAACTCTTCAAATCTAGACCGAATCGGAATATTTGTAGTTTATAGTGAGGTAATTAATGCACCTCAACTAAATGAACTGTCTAATTGCTAGAATTTCACAGGCTTACACTATTATTTTATTACTTAGATGGGTGGACGAGCTCACAGCCCACCTGGTATTAAGTAGTTACTGGAGCCCATAGACACTTGTAAATGCGCCTCCCACCTTGAGATATAAGTTCTAAGGTCTCAAGTATAGTTACAACGGCTGCCCCACCCTTCAAACGGAAATGCATTACTGCTTCAAGGCAGAAATAGGCAGGGTGGTGGTACCTACCCGCGCGGTCCTACCACCAGTAATTACGCATATTATAATTTTGCAGGTTTCATTTTTATTACCCGATGTTATTCCTTCACCGTGGAAGTCAATCGTGAACATTTGTTGAGTACGTTTTTCATTAGAAAAATTGGTACCCGCCTGAGATTCGAACATCGGTGCATCACTCAAAACGCATTTATCCGTTAGGCCACGACGACTTCTAACGCTCTGGACCATTAATCCGCCACTGTATGTATATATGTATAGATTAAAACGTATATAAATATGTATATTAGTCTCTGGTTCCCACTTTTTCTCTGGTAGACGGAATCCTAGATTGGGGCCAGATTGCGTGATTTCCACGCGGTTATTATTATTACTTAATACTGGTCGGGTCAAATCAACAGTTCACCTACATCGAGTGACCACAAGCTCATCCGCTGCTACCAACTACAATATACAATTAGCGTTTCGTTAAATTTCAGCAAAATTTATAACACCATGCCGACCAAAAGACACGGCTTGTCTGAAGTCCTCAGCGCAGAAGGCGGTACCGTTTCTCGCAGCGGGAATCGCCGATCTCGGTATTGAAACCATGGATCCGATGACCAATTTTTCTAATGAAATACGTACTTAACAAATGTGTTAAGTACGTATTTCATTAGAAAAATTGGTACCCGCCTGCGGGATTCGAACACCGGTGCATCGTTCAACACGAATGCACCGGACGTCTTATCCCATTAGGCCACGACGACTTCTAATATTTATATGTATAACAAATTTTTTTAATATAGTAGACCGCTTATGCGCATAGCGGCCTGGACGCATTGTTTAAAGGTCGCTTTTAACAAGTCACTGTTTATTTTTTATGATCTGTAATGAAGCATGGTGACCACCACTAATAAACTGCGAGTCCAAAGCCCCCTGATGTTAAGCACGACTTGGACCAAGAGTTAATGACTATAAAACTTAGGTGGAAAAATAAACTATAACGTGAGGACACACACATATTTATAATGTGTAAATGGGTGAACGAGCTCCTGGCCTACCTGATGAAAAGTGGTTACCAGAAACCGTGCACATCATGACCTTAATCAAGTCACCTATCTTCATATAATCTGGTAGACTCAATATTACCCGCGGTAACAGTATTATACTTGTCTTACTCCCCAACTCAAGTGTTTTTGCCGTAAATTAATCTGGTTGAGGACTAAGACAGTTAGACTAGTGAATCTACAACCTTATTTCTTAGTGTAAATGACTTCATTTATGTTGGTGATTTGTATGGGCTCGGTCACCGTTTATATTATGTACCGTCATATGTGACTTGCGATAAATATCTGTCGGAAAAGAGAGCCAGCGTCGCGCGCTGTCCGAAAGTATAGCCGATGGACTATTTTCTTTGAGGAGTTACTTGACCACAAAATAGCTGTACGAGACGACTAACGAACTTGAAGTAATCATAAGTACCTCCAGGCGGCTAGTTCGGCAGCCTCGGCTGCAGCGTCGTGTTCCGCGTCAGCCTGCACGGAGATATCTCCACACCCTCGATTTTGTAGGACCCTCACACCAGCTCCAACAGCCCAACGAAGGTTTTCCTATACAGTGTAGCGGTAGCCGTGATTAAATAGAAGAAGTGCGACAAAAAACTGAATCGCGATAACAACATTTTGAAATATAAGCTCTCGTGTGTATACATATGCTCGATGGAAGATCTACTCTTTCTCGTTCACTATAAAAATAAAATGATTGTTCAAGCAGATGGGCTGTGAGTTCAGTTATCCATCTATAGACAATAAAAGAAAGAATAGGTAACTACCTCATTTTTTCTATCTCAAGTTGATCTCAGCTTAGTTACCAAAAGCATTCTTGAGCTCTTCGTCATTAATGGATAAGTTATATGCTATTGTTACCAAAGTAAAAAACCGACGAACCCTAGTCTCATCCAAAGCTTCGAGCTGATTGTAGCCAGGGTCCTTTGGCCCTAGCGAAGCGAGCGCTACAGCAGAGTACTCCGGGACCACGTCGGTCAGTACAAACGCCTGGCCTAGCTTCATTCGCTCTGACAATCTGAAACAGACCTCGTACTTTAACGTTAACAATAATATAATGCAAGCACTAATAATAAATTTCAAATTGGAAATGCGCTAAATACATAAATGGGTCACACCTAATTCTCAAACAGACAAGCTTAAGGTCCGGCAAACATTTAGTCATCTGTTTTATGTTAGGCCCGCATCGTGGTTAGCTGAATTTTTAAAGTCAGTAACTAAAGTCAGAAACCTCCGATGGTTGGATGGCGTGGAGCGCGACCTCAAAGTTATCGGTGTCAGGAACTGGAAGGGGAAAGCCCTGAACAGAGCAGTCTGGAGAGACATACGGGACCAGACAAAGGCCCACCCTGGGCTGTAAGGCCTAAGATGATGATGAAAGTCAGAAACGTGTCCCACAAGACATAGGCATCACCTAATAAAATATAGCGCACAGATTTTAAAAATCTTAATTTACTATCTGAAATATTACCCCTAAGCCACGTCGATTGTACTTACTAACTAGTCTACAATTATTGGTTTTATAACATCCGCTTCGTTTTAGGAAAGCTCAAGGCTAGTTTGAAGTGGTACCGGAGCCCTCAGACACCTCAGGGTAAATGCCATTGATCACTGAGATTGATAATACGAAATCGCTGAATATATATCGTTTTATAAATTGAAACAAAAAAAAATTAAGCTTCACAGGGATCGTGGTCTGTGACCATGTTCCATAAAACCATAAAGTTATTTTCTAATGAAGTCCACGACCTATAAGACGATATTATAAAAACTAACTCATTCAAATGTTGAAGTATCTTTCCCCCAGATTTCTGATCAAGCTCCTGACCGGCTGAAGTCAACTCTAGTTTCTTGCCGCATTGATAAACACCAAGAACTAGACCTTTCTGAAAGATTTAGTTTAATTTTTATTTTGTCCTAAGCTCAATGTATCATAAGAATAATGTATAAAATTCTGTAGCTGTATTTTCCAAAATACTATACCGAAGTATAGTTTAAAGTATATTTAAAGTAGCACACTGAAATTTTTACCTAATAAATTATTTTTCTCAGGATTGTATTGAAAGAAAAAATTATGATATGGGCCACATACTTCATAGATGAACCTTCTAGACTCATTTCAGTTATTTTAGTCTATAATGAGTAATGTGATGAGTGTTCTTAAGTGCTGACAATTATCACTGTCTGCTGTTTATTGTCAATGATTAATGAAAGCCGGCGGCATGCGGCATTGGCGGGGCTGAGAGAGGACCCGTAGAGCTAGGAACTGTCCAACGGCCAGGACTATTGCGCTGAAATGCGCTGTTAAACGAATTTCTGTCAAAAATCCAGGAAATTGACGTGTTTGCTGATAGTTGGTGAATACTTTTGTCTATAATTATTTTATTTTTAGCATAATAATAATATTTAATAATTTTAATAATGTTTTTTGTGTTAACGAGTTAGGTGTTTTGGTGCAAACTGTAAGCCTGACTGTATTGAATTGAATAAATAAATAAATAAAGCCACACGTCATCCACTTGCGTTTAGATCGTTTTGTTGACCCAATCATTTGTCATCCTTCCTATTGTTATTGCATAGACATACTCATTTCCCCCATAGGTTATAGATACAATGTGAATGCATATTACCCTAAGGTAGATTACGGTTTTCCCATGAAGTCCATGAGGTCGAACGACCACTTAATAATTCCAGAAGGATGTTCTTTAATGAAAAAAGAATAATCGCCATCGAAGTCTCAATTATGCTGCATGGGACTGTTCCGTCGTTCAAACCAGACTTAACGATTGCTTCGCAGCTGGATGACGTAACGGAAGGCCTAGTGTGGGCTCTCCACAATTTAATAATTCTTATCATGAATATTTCTCATATTTTAAGAAAAAAAAAGCCATTCTTACCTTGCTGCTGTCTAATTTCTGATTTATTTCACCACTTGCTTCTTGACATGAATCAGAAAATTTTCTTATCAATTTAATGTTTAATTTATTCATAACACATCTTGTTTTAGAAAATACTTTTAAAAAACCCATTATAAATAATTTAAAAACATTCAGTTGTAAAGTAAAAAAAAATGTTATATAAATTTGATAAAGAACACCAACTAGATTTAATCACTTCAATTTCAGACTTCACTGAATTTAAATTTGGAAGCAACTATTACACAGACTTTAATAATTGTGAGTTCACATGCAAAATTAGATTCCTTACTGACATTCCAAAGTTGCTGTAATTCACAGTAAATACCTGTTGCATACAAATTGATACCAAAAATTAACGAGCATAATTGTATACAAATATGAAACATGAAATTACATTTACATTATCTATAATTATATTCTTCTAATTATCTTCCTTACACAATAATAAAACAACAACATATTAATTTTTCATCTTTTAATACTGCCAATATTTATTTTGAAACTAGTTGTTTTAGGAACATGTCTTATTGTCAATGATATCCGGGTACACCTTTTGTATGTCTCACCTCTAACATATTTATCAGAACACATATTTAAATTGACAATAGAATCATCTATTACATCTTCATTTAACTCTTCAATACTATGCAGATAATGACTAAATAATTTGTCTTGCAAGATAAGCAAGCTCCTTGGTTCTAACAAAAAAGAAAACATTGGTTGCATCTCAACTTTTTCATTATCTGTAGTTGGTTTCAAGAATTTTAAGACTATGTGCGAGCCCACTGATATTGTTGTTATGGTCGGGTAAAACAAATTTCCATCAAGATGCGGCATAATGCCTTGTCCTGGTGTATATTCATTTACCAATACATGGTTTGGTCGTCTACCACACATAACATTTAATTTGTGAATTCTTTCGAGATATAGGTCTAACCAAGTAGGTATTGTTTCTGCTATCATTCCCTTATTGTGTGGGACACCTCCCCAATTTTGTAATCTACGATTTGATAGCTGTGTCCATTTAGGCTTCGGTGCTGCATATATGTTTGACAGTATCAGCTGTTCTTCGGCTTCTGTGACGAATTTACTAATGTAATATGCAGTCGGTTCAGCCTACGGAGAATATATAAGTTATATTTTTACTGAGTTAGATTATAAAACGCTTGAATGGTATATTTTACTTGCCTTTATTACTATGTGATCTTCAATATTTGTTATATTTGTCATCATTACAGTTTAGTTTTCATATGTACATGTTCCCCATGATTTCTTTAATTCAAATGAGTAAGAAATCGTTTTTTACTAGATATGAAGCTTTAAGTGTAATAATGTATTGTAAAGTATACAACAGTACATAGCATACACTCAATAGTAAATAGTCATTCGATAAAGTTCTGTGAACTGTGATTAATGTCAGATGTCGGCAATGAAGTAGGCTCTATGGATGTCAGTAACCGTTGTGACCTTATCTACTCTAATGACACTGACAGTTTGAGTGCTTACCTTTTGAAATGTAGGTAAAGGCTTGTATTTTTTTTTTGTCAGGAGCGACATCTTGAAATCCTTGAACTTATGAACTTAATTTTTAAATCATTTAAAGTCAAGCCATTTAAATTCAATAACTAAAGACAACCTGAAGTACCAAAGCCCAATGTGATAATGTCAAGGCTAGGTTTGTCATTCGGATTCTTCTATATATTTTTATTCTGTAGATTGTTAGATGGACTTAACAAGCTATGTGGCTATGAGTGATAAATACTACCACAAGTCACAACGTCAATATCGTGAATAATCGATAATCGAGTAACGTGAAGAATCCATTGCTGCCTGCATAAGTAGTTGTTTTACTATACGGATTTGAATCCTGACAAAAAGACGATATAAAGATAAAATTTAATAGAAAATTAGCAATTGAAAGATTACATTTAATTTGTTATGAGAAGCTATTGAACTAAAAAAGTATCTTGAACTAACGTCATATGGTTCACGCATCAGGCTAGCTTACTGGCTTTTATACTTCTGTAGACGCCTAATGCCTATATCGATACTTTTAGTTTGTTGATGCTACGATAGACAAACGAGCGCACGGCCTGTGCAATGGTTCTTTTCTTATTAAATAAAATATTTGAACAAAACCTGTTGGACAGTAACGACATTATCAAAATAGATTTTAGTAAAATACATACAAAGAACTAATAGCATTTTAACTTTTTATCGAGTAACAACTTCGAACATCTTTCCGTTGTCATTCTCATCTGATGTTAGGCGGCTACTAGAGCCCGCGCCAAGACTTATACCGTTATTAACATCAAGCAATGTAAATTAAGCAGGATAGTGATATCCACTTGTGTGCAACTTTCTTTTTCGTAGTTTTTGCGTTAGTTGCGATCTCCTTTATCGAATGACTTCCTAGATAACTATAACGTTATATTCCCAGACTATAATTAATTAGATCATTTTCGATTTTATAATACATACAATGTAATTTAAAATTTAATTCTAAGGATTAGTTACATATCGGTTGACAAAATGTGGCTGGTGAGCTTAAGCAGACTGACATCAGTTCTCGCTTTCTCAGCTCTCAGTGTTTTGCTGTTAAACTTGCAAGTAATCTAGTTTATAAGCAAAGCGCTTGAACATAACAATGCAAACAATTTTCAAATAAAATTCAATAAATATCGCTATTTGATTTCAAATAAAACACTACAATAACGATTACTAAATTACTTGAATTTTTTTTTTTCTATGAAACTTCAAAATGAAATGACACATAATCAATTTGTGTTTGTGGAATAATAAAACACAACTCTAAATTTTTTTGACACAAGCGTATGTACAGACAAAAAAATGTTATGTGGTTTAATTTTAGTTGTAAATATTTGTTGGTAGCGATTTATGTAGAATGTGATAGCGATGGGTGGCTGTATAGGTATTACTAGAAGTGGCAGCGGGCACATAGAGGAATCTTCTGGGACAGTTTCTCGGCCTAATTCGGGTTAGTATTTATCTGTTGCCTTGGGCCTTGAATGTCCACCGCCTATGCCTAAAACATCACAATATTTTGAGAAATATACCTAAGTTGTAAAACTTTTAATTGAGAGCATTAAAGGTCATGGGTAACCTTGTCTGCCAGTCTGAAAGTGTTTGTACTGGTCTATACAGGTCCATGCAAAATATCGTTCTTAAATATGTCAATTCCTTAAATATGTATTAACTTTGGAAATATGAAAATTCACTTTGATTTTCGAAGATTTTGTTTGGGTAAGGAAATTAAGGTTTTGCAATAATATTGTAATGAAAAGCTTGTTTGCAGCTTGAATTGAAATAAATAGCTAGTTTATGTAAACCATCAGATAGTTATAATGTAATAACAAGACTAACTAACGAATACCAAAAAATTGATACTGTTCACTGGGTGTATTGTAAGACCACAGGCTGAGGATGTAACTATGACTGTAAATAAGCAGTAATGTATTCTAGTTTTAAGGGTGGATAACTGTTTTACAATAAATACAAAAAAATAAAAATAACCACTAAAATATAGTAATCCATACTTTTAACTATAGAGGTATATAACATTTCCGCATTGAAACCATGAACTGGAAGAAAATTATGCTTGATATTTGTTGCCAAATCAGTGATTTTTCTTTGTTTGAAAGTTGTTACATGCAGGAGGCAGTAGTTTTGCTGTAATCTGCATTGCCAATGTCTCATCAATTGTCCTCCTCCTAGCATCGTTTTTCTCATTACTGAGGGTTGTGACTCACCCGCTGCATCAGTTTCTCCCGTACAATTTCCCTCCATCTGCTGTAATCCTTAGCTTCATGAAGGGTATTGTGAAAATTGATGTTTAAAGAAGATCGTATTTGGTCCGACCATCTCGTGGGACTGTGTTCTCTGGGACGTTTGCCATCTACCTTTCCCTTTACTTTCATCAATTGTAACCATGCACTATTACGTTAGTCTCATGCTCATGTACGGCACACATATATGCACACAAGTAGATTTTTGCAAACAATAGTAGCATTTCATTAAGTAGTTACCTCTGATGTTGAAATTTATGAAAAAAATAACATTTTCCAACAATGATTATGTATGGGGTGGGCACTCATTTTCTACCTATATTATGTATTCCAAATTTGCAAGTGATTGAATCTTAGAATATATTTTTTTATTTATAATGTAGATACTACAGAATTTTTCCACTTACTCATGTTTTTTTTTTATTTAAGCAAGCTAGTACCTAAATCAAATTTTCACTAGAACTGTCAGTTCTCATAAACCTGTTTCCAGTCAATGTCATAAGGAAATGATATAAAGATAACAATAAAAATTATATTAACCTTAGTTGGAAGAGACAGGATAGCCTGGCCTCCTCTGGTTTTGCTATGGTTCTGATATAATTAAGACTAACCTCGTGTCTTAAAATGAGGGACAGCTTTATTATTGTGGTTTCTGTGGGTTCTGGGAATAGCTGAGAGTTATGGTTTCTAGAAAAGTTTTGTAGAAACACCCAAATTAATAAATATCTTGGATTGATTTGATTCATTGGAATGATTATGCTTGTCTTTGACTATTTACAAGGGTAGAACCTACTTCATTGTTGCAGGAGGCCTAAGGAAAAACCAATCATTATGTCATGAAACAATCAGATGGAAGTCAGACGTACCTCTCACAGAGGGTCAGCTACGTAGCAAAAGAGATGAATTTTGGGACACCGCTCCAGCATTTGATGGCAGAAAAGAGATATGGGATGCTCTTAGAGCAGCCGCTGTAGCTGCTGAGGCTATGGACTTCCAGTTGGCCCAAGCTATTCTGGATGGAGCTAGTGTTTCAGTGCCTAATGGCTACCTCACAGAGTGCTATGATGAATGGGGCACAAGATATCAGGTATCTTTATTTAATTTCTATATAGTAGATAATTAGAAGTAATAAAATACCAAACAATAGTTTACTGTGATTACCAAGATGAGAATGCAAAGTCAGTGTTGTTAACTTATTGTATTTCCTAGTGTATGTGAAATATTCGGTTTTTACCTACAAAATTGGTAGTAAGTTGGTAATTTTTTATAAATCTTTGTTATTTTAATTATCCAAAATCATGGGTGCACATCCAAGGTATTGATGCATCTCTGCTAGCACAGTGATAGATATATAATTAGATAGATAATTTCTCAATATTCTTCTTGAAGATACAAAAGGTGTATGGGAGCCAACAAACTCTTAAAGGCATTTTCTACTGCCTCTCAGGTATTGAATAATTTTTTTCCTGCTAAAAAGTGGTCGAAGCTTTGTAAAGAGTAGAAGTCTGTTGGAGTAAGGTATGGTCAGTACACTGGGTGATGCAAAACTTTCACTCCCACCTCTTTTAGTTTAGAAACGATTTGTTGTGGCACATGAGGTCACGCGTTGTTGTGTTAGAGAAGGAGGTACCAACGATTAACCGAAGTGGTCTGGACATGCACAAGTTTCTCCATCATTGTGTTCTTGCCATTTGGTAAGAACCTGTGATTAATTATATTGGCATTAGAACACTAATCAGTGATAATATCTTTTTAGGAATAAGTTGTCATTTGGAACATTACCTAGATTTTATTGTGATTATCAAAAATAGTCCATTTTTCATCGCAAGTGACAATCCAGTTCATAATCCCTTCGTTCCTGTGTCTGTTGAGTAACGTAAGGCACGCCTTAACGTGTTCGTCGCCCCGGCGATCATTCAGTTCGTGCCGCAAACACTCTTATTAAGTTTCTTACCTCACAAATTTGACGCAAATGGACCAATATTGTTCTAATGCTAACATTGAAAGAAAGCCCACTGAGTTTCTCGCTGGATCTTCTCAGTAGGTCGCATTTCCGATCCGGTGGTAGATTCTGCGAAGCACGGCTCTTGCTAGGACTAGTGTTAGCAACGTCGTCAGGTTTGAGCCCCGTGAGCTCACCTACTAGTTAAGATTACGCTGAAATAGCCTCTCAAGGCTATCAGTTTAGGTAGGAAATAAAAAATATATTTGAAAGCTGTTGCTAACTCAGCGGTAGATTGTGTATTTTCAGCTTCCACTATTGCCTTTGATTCGTCGTTCTTGACTAGTTTTCGGGTGACTAGAGGGTTAATTTTTTAGATAAAAATTTCCGTCTCGAAATCGTTAAAACCAATAACGAGTCGTGCGCTCGTTTGTAGTGTTCACTTTCCACACGTCATTAATGTTGTGAGCCATTTGTGCGGCATTGCTACTGCGACGAAACTCAAATTTCATAATTACTCCTATTTTTATCTTGTCCATATTGATGTAGTGAAAACAAAAAACTAACAGAAGAACTATGTAATAACTGAATTTTAAAATAGAATCCCATATTTATAAATTTGATTTGAACTTAGAATGTATTGGCAGCCATACATAAGCTACGTTTCTAATGGCCAGTATTTTAAGACGACAACTTCACAGGTAAAGAAACCTATTATTTCAGAATAATCAGATTTCTGGAAGTGGGTGGTGACGGAATAATAAGAGACGTTGCTAGATAATGTGGAGCGTAATAATAGTAATTGTCAGTAAATATAAATTTATTACCAGCATATTGAATTATTGTTTTTTTTTTAAATTTTTATTGCTTATATGGGTGGACGAGCTTACAGCCCACCTGGCGTTAGGTGGTTACTGAAGCCCATAGACATCTACAACGTAAATGCGCCACCCACCTTGAGATATAAGGTCTAAGGTCTCAGTATAGTTACAACGGCTGCCCTGCCTTCCAAACCGAAACGCATTACTGCTTAATGACAGAGATAGGCAGGGTGGTGGTACCTATCCGCGTGGACTCACAAGAGGTCCTACCACCAGTAAATATGAAAGATTAAAGTGTCTTAAAATTGAAGGTAAATTTTGTCCACAGGTACCGATATACTGTTTGTCTCCACCGATAAACATGGTGAAAGAGGCAAGCGGGCGCGACTCCCCTGCGGAGTGGTCGGAGCCGGCGGAGGGCGGCGCGGAGGTCACCCTGAGACTGCGCCTCTCCAGCTCCTGCAGGGACGTGGAGCTGGCGGTCTGCTCGCGGCACACGGTCGCGCACTGCAAGAACAAGCTACACGTGAGTAGCAGACGCCACACTCCGCCCAGCTTCCAGGTGTTTCAGGTGCACTCCTCAGTCCCCCGGTCTCGATCGCGATGAGCGCGCGTAGAGTTCGCTCGGGTAGAGCTTACAGTGAGCAAGAGCTTCAAAACTGAACATGGCAGTGTACGGAACCTTAGTCCATAGAAGACCACTACACATAGTTTTGACCCTTAGATACAACGTCAATGTAGAACGATCGCGAATGTTTTAGGAGGGTCAAATGATTAATATTTTATTAGAAATTAAAATTCACTTTTATTGATAGATATAATAGATAATAAATAAGCAAAATAAAACATGAATTCAAAGTAAACACTGGCTTGACTGATTCAGCGGTGCAGCAGTTAGCGGCACTAACTCTTAGCCGAGTCTGTGGGGTTGATTTCCGGATCGGGTAAAGGTCTTGTGATAAACAAGCTGGTTTGCTCTTTGCTTGGGTGTTGATTATCTATGTATGTATATATTTAAACGTATTTAATATGTATGTCAGTCTCTGGTACCCATAGCATGGGGAATCCTAAATTGGGGCCGGATGACCGTGCGTGATTTGTTCCCAGTTGCTCCCAGTGTATGTTGCCTAGACTTTGTTGAGTTGGATGCTGTTTGCGGATACAGGGAGAAGGGTACCCATCTAGTCTAGGGTCCTAGTGACTATTTCTTCTACCACCATGTAGTATTACGATACTATGGTACCTTCCACGTCTCGATGCGTCAACAACTCCAACAGCCCGAACCCCATAATGATTCTAGCGGCTCAGCTGTCCCATTGAAAATATTGTGTGTGTGTATCCATTTAATCTTTATACATATAATTCTACTGTAGGTACGTGTGTATGTCACTGAACTCCTCTTAAACTGAACCGATTTGAGAGTTTTTTTTTTGAATGCGTTTGGGTGGAGCCCTGGATGGTTTATATTCACAAATCAGCCCGGCAGATGGCGCCGCAGTCAGTATCTAGGTTATTTATCTATACGGCAACTAAACGGCTGGATCGACTTGAATGATTTTTTGTGTATGCATTCATTCATTCATTTTGTGTATGCAGTATGGAGGGTAGAGGCAAGGAGAACCGTCTCATATGGGAGGAAGCTTGAAAAAGTGTCCCAATTTTAGCACTAACTAACAGTTCAAAAATCCCCCAGAATGGTGCTAGCATAGGCACAGGGTATCATATGAATTAAGCAGTTGTTAACTGATTGAAGTATGCTGAGTTAGGAAATTGAATATATTTAATGACTAGAGTAGTTAGTGACAGTGTAATATACAAGACCTCATATGTTTACGTAGTCCAAACTAATTTCGTCAATATAACCTAAAATTATTGCTGAGGTAAAACGTGGAGACATCGTTTGCATTTTCTTATCAGCTTTAAATAACATAGTTTTTGTGATTTTGTAGTGCTTACAGTGCTTTCGTCCTTGTTTATTTCTCTATCTTATTCTAATAACTTTCAGCGCCTTTTTTTAGATTTACCCGGAGGCTACTGTAGCGCCACCCTTATTTAGCAGATTTTAACGGACACTTTTCACACACAGAGACGGTTCTCCTTGCCTCCACCCTCCATAGTATGCAGGACAACGTATGTCGGGTCCTCTAGTCTGTATAATCTCTGAACGCGCGCAGAGGCACGTTCTCAAATCGATGTAAGGTTCATTAAAGTAGCGTCACACGCAACGATACAACCTTAACGGCGTGACCTCGGTCGGCATGGTGCTGTGACGTCACTGTGCCCAAATATTCTCGTCGATAATGATTCGGATCACGATTTAATCGCGGATTTGTGTGATTCGTTTTGTTATTACCGATATTATATCGAGAGGTGAAAGGATATTTATTTGGCTTAAGCAACATTTTTGCAACTTTACACTTTGAATGTTGAAGGCTTTAGAGGAAGAGGTAGAACTAAGAAGAAATGGATGGATTGCGTGAAAGACAATATGTGTAAAAGGGGGGTGAGCAAAGAAAACGCTATATGATAGAGGAGTATGGAAGGAGAAAATATGTCGCGCCGACCCCAGGTTTCTGGGAGAAGAGCAGGAGGACATTGATGATTGTATTAACATTAAAACGATTTAAACTTGTACAATTTAGCGGTAGGCAGCGGTTTGGCTATGCCTCTGGCATTGCTGAAGTCCATGGGCGACGGTAACCACCATCACCATCAGGTGGGTCGTATGCTCGTCTGCCTACAAGAGCAATAAAAAAATATATACTGTGCGGACATTAAGTTTGAGGAAGTACGCTTTAAGTTTGTGCGGAATATTTCGATTTTGCAATTGTATCTACTGAGCCCTAAAAAAGAACCAGCCGTAAATATACTCGACGCAACCTTCGCAGCACATTGCACGGGACAGTTAAAATTATCTTAATTTAACTTCAAGGCACACGCGCGACCGGAACTTCAAAAATGGCTCGAACACCAAAAACCGATAAGGTTAAACAGACACGAAGTACATTTTATTAATATCTTTGACTGCGCGTTGCATTACTTTTATGTTGAGATACAGGATCGAAATCTCGATCTTACGACGTCATGTGTAGCCACTCATCGTATATTAGTATATAGTCAAGCGTTAACTCCTTCATTTCTCCCCAATAAAGTTGTGATAAAATTGCATGCAGTCCAGTTTCGTAAAGTTTCCTATTACCTTTTTCATTTCTTTACTGGTGGTAGGACGTCTTGTGAGTTCGCACGGGTAGATACCACCATTATTTCTGTCGTAAAGCAGTAATGCGTTTCGGTTTGAAGGGTGGAGCAGTCGTTATACTGACCGTTATACCTTAAAGGTCATGTCTCAATGTGGCGGCATTTACGTTGTAGATGTCTATGGGCTCCGATAACCATTTAACACCAGGTGGGCCGTGAGCCTGTCTACTCATCTAAGCCATTAAAAAAATATTGAAGTAATTTACCCATCCAATCCTTATTCGTTTTGTAACAGAAGTAGTTGGATAGTGCTACTAACCCGGACTCATAACGCCAACTGCCATAAGTGCCCAAGATAGGAATTATGAGAAATGTTTTGCAGGAAAATGTTATAGAAATAGTATCTACTGTTAGTATAACATAGGGAGACTGAAGTCGCGTGATATCTGGGACCAATTCCGAATAGAATGTTTCCCTGAAATGTTCGCTGGCCTAAATATATTTTCGCTGAAATTTTTACCTCAATGTGGCTTTACATCTATATCGAGGGGTGAAAAGGTATAAGCGACATTCATCTTTGCAATTAAAGCTGCGTTTTATTTAGTATCAGCATCAACAGTTCGATGTTTTTAATTGAATCTCAATTAAGTTTACTCTATTTAAATAGCTGAGGAAGTTTTTTGGCCATGATATTTTTTCCAAATTTTAAACTTTAAATGGCTCTCCTGTAAATTTGTAAAACTGTCGCATAAACCAAATAGCGATTATGAAATTATATCTAAATGTTATCACCAACGAAACATCATAAGATAGTTGTTGGTGATAAACTAAATTAACTGTACGCCCGCTTCCGAATAGAGCCACGTTTCCGAGAGCCAACGAAATCAATCCAGTCCATTTGTGTTTTAGTGGTCTTGCGATGTGACTCCTTTTTTAACATTCCATCTAAAAAAAACTTTGTACTCACAGTAATAATGAATAATCACAATAATAAAAATGAAATGCGCCAAGCGAACGTCGCGTTTCCCTTTTTGCTATCGGTAACTTGATAATTAATTCACTTAGGTAAGGTAAGGTAGTAACATAATAAATCTAACTGGTAAAAAAAAAAAAAAATGTTGCAAAAATTAATTCACTGGAATATATTATTTGATGTCCGTAGACTTTCTTTACGCGCTGATCAGTTTGCAAGTGTACGTTCTATGGGACCACGTTGTAAAGCTTCATAGTATTTGCATGTATAGATATAGTATAATATATATTTGCAAGTCCCGGGTCATTCTATGGGTGTTCGTTCTGTGGCCATCGGATTTACGCACAAGGCTATATTAAAAAAAAGTTAAAACATTATGTAAATGAAAACTGATTATTTCGGAACAGAGTTCGTGATTTATTTACTGTTTCACTTAAAGTTAAGTTATTGGGAAGTAAAAAAAGAATGGAAAATTATTATTGTTTATTATTTTATGGATGGTATTTTTTTTTAAATAATATAAGTTTATTATTGTTTATTATTTTATGGGCGGTACTTTTTATTTTTTTATTGCATAGATGGGTAGACCTGGAGCCCATAGACATCTACAACGTAAATTCCGCCACTCACTTTGAGATATGAGTTCTATGGTCTCAGTATAGTTACAACGACTGCCCCACTCTTCAAGTCGAAACGAATTACTGCTTCACGGCAACGAAAAAATTGGTACCCGCCTGCGGGATTCGAACACCGTTGCATCGCTATATACGAATGCACCGGACGTCTTATACATTAGGCCACGACGACTTGCAAAACTTGGTATGACGTCAAAACGTCAATATTGGATTTAAAGTTAAACAAAATTTGTGTTTTCCACAGGCTCAAGAGAATATAGAACCGTGGAGACAACGGTGGTTCTACGGGGGCAAGCTGCTCGGCGACAGACTGCTGGTGGAGGAAGCGAAGATCACTCCGGGGTACGTGGTGCAGGTCATCGTCAGCACCGACCCTCAGCCTCCCAGCTAGTCGCCAGCCACACGGTACGGAATGTATAGCTAAAAGTATTCGTAATTCCAGGATATAAATACAAAATGGATGTAGTCGACCACGAGAAAACTAATAATGACATAAAGGAAAGACTTGGTTAAAACATACGGCCTCAGACGACGGCGTCGGTCGGGCCTCGATACCGGGGCAGATATCATTTTCAAATCAATCGCGTAATAATGTGTGATTAAGATAAGACACCCAAAATTTACAAGTTTTGCGTGTCCAATGGTGGGCGAGCGAGTGCGGCGTCTCAGTCCCAGCGATAGAACAGCCGCTCGCCGACTACCGGTCAAACGGTGACCGCTCTTCTGGAGGTCCGCTAGGAGCTCACATTCACGCGTCCAGACACCACACCCAACGTTCTGCAGCAAACAGTCATTTCAGTCGCTTGCGGACGCCTCCCGTCGGCGGCTACCCGTCCGGTGTCTATTGGGCAGACGCCCGCGCCGCGAAAAACAGCCGTCTAAATCTTGAGTTCACTAAAACCACAATTTTAATGATGTGTTATGTTCTCGGACAGTCATGCCCACTGAGTTTCTCGCCGGATCTTCTCAGCGCGTCGCATTTCCGATCCGGTGGTAGATTCTGCGAAGCACTGCTCTTGCTAGGGCTAGTGATAGAAAATTCTCTCAGGTTGAGCCCGTAAGCTCACCTTATTCGGCGAATCTAGTACAACCCCTTGAGGTCACTAGAATAGGTAGGAAAAAAGTACAATCACAATTGTGGCGAATCGAACGAGTCGGTTATTTCCGCCTGGAACATTCGGGCTACGGCATTGAGAATGGAACCTTAGCTTTGTCGATATTAAGTCGATAATAAGTTGATATTGTATCGCTACATTTGAAGTAATGTGCGATCCGCAGTGGATGCTTTGAGAAATGGAAATAATTAAATCCGAGAGTGATCAAAGTCTACAAGGAGACGGTCTGAATTAAACAACATGAGCAGCACACAAACACCATTGCTCTTTTTAAATTTATAATTTTATATTTATAATATGTTTTTTCTACATGTTTTACGGCATTTCGTAACAGGAATAAAAGAGAAATTAAATTATAAAAAATCGTTTTAATAAAGACATATTCGTAATTTAATCGACGTCATCTTGTTCGTAGCGACATCTGCACGCAACCGGAAGAAATCATTTCCTGAATCGCGCTAACAACATTTACCTACTACAATCAAGTTTGCATTTATTTAAACAAGTTCTCAAGAACTGAAAAGCTGGTAAATACAGAAGAACTGCGTTTAAAAAAGACGTACAATATTCCTAAATTGACTTTTAAATTTGGTTATTTTAAGTATACATATTTTAAGCGTGATGCAAATTATTGTTCACCTTCAGGATTGTGTTCTGCGCACAATGTTACCAGTGACCTTTATGTGAAGTCATAGTTCATAACTCGCGCAAAAAAAAAATATTTGAAATTACTGATTCATAAAGATTCGTTTTGAGAAAATTCTACGCGTCTAAAGTTTATCGTTTGGGTGGAAATAGTTTGATCGCGTAGCCCTCATCTGAATAACTTGTTGGAAGCGTTCCTTCCGACACGTCGCTAATTAATAATTTGATGCAAATCAGGCTCGGCAGACATTTTTCACGAATGTGAATGTGATTTTATGTTTTTGATCCATCCGAAGTGCCCCGGTGTAAATGTTACGATATATTATTTAAATCATAAAAATGGCAACCTTAGTTTTGTTCAACGGTTTTATCTGCGTTAGAAATAATTTAATCGGAGATAGAGAGATAATTTGAGACTTTAGAACTCATAACTTAAGGTGGGTGGCGGCATTTACGTTGTAGATGTCTATGGGCCCCGGTAACCACTTAACACCATGTGGGCCGTGAGCTCGTCCACCAATCCAAGCATTTAAAAAATAGAAAAAGAAAAATTGTAACATTTTGATTTTAATTAGTATAAAAATATAATGAAACGCCCCAAAATTTTATCGTTATATTAAAATATCATCGAGAAACGCACAATTTTCTTTTATAATTAATTAAATTAATTAATACAACAAACAATTAATAAAATAAAAATTGAAATTAACAATGTCCTGGGTCGACCACCGTTGAAATAAATTGTAAACTCGAACATTTGAATGCTATAGCCGTGAAAGTTTAAAACAGTTCCTAATAAATGCGCTGGGACCAACTGTGCCGATGCGCCACCAAATTGCACTACCAAAAACAACATTAACATCATGCAAAAAAAAGTTAAAGCCATTATCAGATTTATAAACAAAAACGGTACAATAACGTTCAATAACAAATTTTGCTTTGAAAATGTCTCCATCCCGACCGCTAGCCCCCAGCACCCCCAGCGCCCCGTATGTAAGCCAAACGTTAGCCGTATGTATACGTGGTTCGATTTAAAGTGACACCGTCGTCCCGGCCAGTCGCCGGTGACACCGGTCAATACGTTGTACATGATCTCTTTAATATTTTTCATAAAATCAACAGTGCGGTTCATGATTTTGTATCGAACAGAAATTGTATAGTCCATGAATAAAAAAGAGGGTTTTTAAAAACGTGCGTAAAATAGGAACTAACACCTCGCTTTTGGAATCACTTAGAGTCAATGTCATCCGTGACAATCCGTGTCGCACTGTAGTTTGACTGTCAAAATTACATTTGACAGAAATGACAGATAAGTACCGTAAAATGGGGTAAATTGGGACAAAATCGAACTTCAGATTGAATTTTAACATAGTTCCAATTAAATAGTCACTGCTCAACCAAAGAAATAAGTTGAGTCTTGAACGTACCTAGGTGATAAAAACTGTTACATTATTTTAATTATTCAATTTAAAGAAATAATCGGTAAAATAATGGCCGTCCCAATTTACCCAGCGTCCGGGGTAAATTGACACGGTTAAGGGTTAAATTGGGATATTTGTAAGGGTTGTCAACTCGCAGTACTGCGATATATAGGTAGGTGCCATATAATTATTTATATGGACCGAAATGATGAATACAATCCATAATTTAAGCACAATACACAACATAGTGTAAATTAAGCTGGTTTCTATTCCGAAGCGATGTGACGTGAATGATAATCAACAATACAATGATCAAAAAAAGTATGTGCATGTTATATTTTAGAAAATTATTATTTAATTTCCTTAAAAATCACAACTCTGAAACAAAATGATAAAATAGAATAAAAAATAGAAAACAAAAGGACTGGAAATGCAATAATACAATTTTATTTAATCAACATTTTCAAAATAATCTTTGAGCAAGAGTAAGATATCAGGTGAATAAGATAAAAAAACAGCTTTATCTGATTACTGCCAATAATAACAAAAATAAAAGAAATTCTTTCTAAGCTAAATAACTAAACTCAATTAATTCACTCACTCATAATTGGATATCTCGGATTTTTAATTAATGTTACATTTAAAATCTGAGGCCTGTTTTTATTTGTGTGTGTTCGTTGTGAATGTTAACAAAATCATGATTCGACGCGTGAATAGATTCTGAAATAACAAAAGTTTTGATTCGTTTGAGTTCTTTTAACTTTTAATTTTTTTTATTGCTATAAAGAACATACGACCGGGCAGATATTACAAGGTAAATGTCGCGAAAAAAAGTAATTATATATATACTTTTCTTTTACCTATAATACTTACATAAACTAACTGATAAACACATTAATCTTCTTTACATCACGCAATTAAGTGATAGTATAGGCTAAAAAATCTATTATAAGATATCAGTGACAACCCTAACAAGCCATCCCTATTTTGTCTTTTGGCGTTCCAATTTTGTATTTTCTCGTCCCTAATTTTTCCAGTCTCGTTCCAAATTACCCTACATACGTCCCAATTTTCCCCAAAAAGAAAGGAAAAATTATACATTTTTTATTTTGTCGAAATATTGTATTTAAAATAAGAATATTGCAACTTACCGTTTGTTGTGGTATTTCCAGGTGTATTAAAAACTTATATAAACTGTGATCTTATTAAAAAAACTACGATATTATTACTTTTTTTAAAAGTTCTGTAAGCTGTTTTAAAACGCACTTTTCAACCACTATTTTCAATTTAATTTGACGAATTTTTGGGACCAACCTAACTCATATTTAATACTTCCATAGTTAACTTGGTTTTTCTTCTATACATTGATAAATATTAACATAAACAAAATTAGGTAGATTCCGTGCTACAGGTACTTTGAGAATCTTCCGCAGGTTTGTCCCAATTTACCCCAGGATCCCAATTTACCCCATGTCATGGTACTCTGTGTTTTGTATAGACAACAAAAAAGGACGATGTTTTAAATTTTGTTGATGTAAGAAATAATTAGTAATTAAACTTCAATGCTTTTAAATTCTTAATAGTTTCTTATATTTATTACAGACTAAAAAAATGACAATTAATAAAATTATAAATTGTGTACGAAAACACTAGGAATGGTTTAAAATAAATAGTGATGGGTTGTCATTTTTTCAGTCGTTCAAAATTTAATTGTACGGGAACTTTGTAGAGAAATTAGCGAACACTCAATGCGAAGTGTGTTCAGTACTTCTTTTTTTTATTTTTGTAAATAATTTTTAGTTGTGTAATTAAATGTATTTATCGTTTGTAGTTTTTTTTATTTATTCTATCTCACGTAATTAGAAATATATATAAAAAAAATACTCTCATAATAATAATGACTGATTTCAATGTAAATTTAAGGAAGATCTAAAATTGTTGATATATTAAACATATTTTTATTCTAGTTTAATTAAAAAATTTTGGGCGGTGGCTATTATCATTGAGAGATGTATACAACCGTTCTTAGTTGAAGGTGACATTAAATTACCGCGAAGAAAATACTTCTAATCCAATTTGTTTAGTGTGGCCTAAAATGGATAAGTTTATTTTTGAGCGCTAATCGTCGCTATGATTTGTCTCGAGTGGATGTGAACAGCTGCCACTACGATGCAGCGGTTCTGTGTGCTTAAAAAGTGTGTAAAAGTTAACTCATATTTGTATGGAGTTAGAACAGCGCCTCTAATGGCAAACGTGGAATTAAGAGTGTGTTAAGAAACGTGAGTTAACTTTTACGCTACCGAGAACTTTAAAAAACTCGCACTAAGCACACTGAACTAAGAATATTTTCGAAATCTTTAATTATACCCGTCGTCTACTTGTTGTGTCCGATGCGCAGTCGAACTACACTCCTCTAGTTATACACGTAATCAATATCGCTGTTTCATTATGCATCGAGATATACCTAGTGTTCGAGAATCCGCGAATCGACCGCACTAGAGCGACTTCAAAAAACACCCAAGAATGTTATTTCTTTATAATGTAATTACGTCCAGCTGTAGGCAACAGCTCGCGAGTTTAATGCACACATCGTCCAGCGTCCATCGGCTCCGGTCAGTTGCCTGGTGTAGTGCAACGCTAAGTGGCCCGCTGGTTTGCTCGGAGATTTGGTCGGACCAACGTTTTTAGTTGAATATTAATCCGATACCTCCAACGGTTAGATCGCCGGACCGGCTGCTGTAGGAGAATCCTCCAAATACGGAACGCAACTATGTCGTATTGACCGTTTCCGTTTGCAACATTCGCGGATGTATTGCAGATCTACGAGGGTTCGCGTGCGGCTGCATGTCGCTATTTATTTAATTGACTGGTTATTTATACATTTCGCATTACGTTAACAATTTCATCTCCTTCCACCCGTTTCCTTAGTTTATTGGTAGATGCAGCCCGACAATTTACTTGACAAAACAGTTTTTAGTTTTGGATAGTTTGCGGAGCGTCCTCTGACTCCGCTGAAGATGAGTTCCCGCTCGGTCGCTAACCGTAATCCTTCGTTGCGATTAATACTTTGGATATCGTTAATATTTCCGAAAGAAATTAAACTTTTTTATTATAAAAAAAAGAACATAATATTCCTAACCTAAAAGTACATGTTATTATCCGCAACATGCTTCGTCAATTAAACTGTATTCTTTCTGGACATTTGTTTAGCTATTAAACAATATTTCTGGACCACGCCTGTTATGTTACTGTACTGCTTAGATATATAAAAAACAAAAATATTTTAGGACTTATTGGTTTGTATATTTTGATTGATTCTATTAAAATATATATAAGTATGTTAGTAAAAGTATGTTTCTAAATTCGATTAATCGACTAATGATGTTGTTGAGACGAACAATGTTAATGTTTATTTATAATTCGGTTTCATGTGTTTATTTGCAAAAGGATCTAATCGATATGTGACCCCATTCTTCTAGACCAACTACCAGATCTACTTCCCCTACATAATCTATTTCCAGTCCTTTTGTCACTTTATTTTGTAGACATAATTATCAAATCTCAATTACTTTTGAGAGGATTTATAAGAGTAGTAGTCACCTTACCTACGCACTAATCCTATCATTTTTTATACTGCTCATTGTGTATAAGATCTCTGTTAATTTTGATTTTATACATTGCCTCTTAATATTTTTTATATATTAAACGCTAAATAGCAATTCAAAATCAAGAAGGGATACTTTTAGTTATTTTAACATTGTCATTTTATACTCTTGCAATGTGGTTGTCTGTGGGTTGCATATTTTTTGCCAACGTCATCCAGTATGCGAGTTCAATAAACTGTACATAATATTTATAATTTCATAGAAACCGGCCAATTTATTTCCAGCTACCTACTTAATACATCGTTGTTTATTTTAATTCAACACCAGTACAAGAAAGATCACACCTTAAATTTGTTTGTGTACTAGTAAACACATTATATTAGCTACTTACTGACCGTTCGCTGAGGTTACCGCGTTGATGCACAGGGCACAGAGTTCCCTTGTCGAAGTATGCGATGAGCATTCGCTAAGCCAGGTACTAGCTATGATAGCTATATATTATATAAATATATAATTAAATATGACCATTTAATAATTAAGGCAATAAATTTGTACAAACAGTATACATACCTACGTAAATGACACTGAAGAAAATAAAAATTGCAAAATTAAATATCATAAATCCATTTTTCTCTATTACTATTTATGTAATTAAAAGCTGTTTTACTCATAAATTAGAAACGTTTGACATAAGTAAAATTTTAAATTGTTTCGAGTCTGCTGGTAATGTATATTCATTACTAATGAAATTGGGGCAATGAAAACAAAATTGAAACTTTTATCAGTGTTATATTCAGTGATAACATACCTACCTACAACCGTGTTTTAGGTTGAAAGCGATTCGATAAGATTTAATATCGATAATGTTGTAGTTTAGCTTTTGCATCGATTATGTAATAGAAATCGATTAAATCGTATCGATTCGTCTGATGTTACAAGTTTTGTACATACGTTTTTATTATGTTCGGTGTGTAAGCAATAATGTGTAAAAAATTCTAATAAAAAATCACTCGGAACTGTAGTTTTGAATTCCCTACTAATTTTTATTTCAGATGAAGTTTTCCTGATGTGTCACAGGGAACAAGATTGAATTGAATTACGACCCTCGCTGCAAAAGATTAAGAATTTTGTATTCGTTAATTTTAATATGAACGATTTCAATGAAAAAATGCACGCCTGCTGTTTGTATCGCCGGTTCTTGTCAAGACGAGGGTATTTTTGGAGCCGGTCGGTTGGAACCGGTTCTACCACTGGTAAAAAATTTACCTCAGAAGGCTCAGTATCCTAAGGAGCAGTAGAGAAAGAAAGGGAAGGGGAGGGGGCTCGCAGGATCCCTGTGGGAGGCCGCAACCGGGCGCCGGACGTCTGCACACAACCAGCCGCAATTCGGAGCGGCTGGTTGTTAGGTTTATCATTGTGTTAAAAACAAATTAAAACGATATCAGCAGTTGTAAGTTTATATTAAGTCTTCGCCTTAATATTAAAAAAGGGGGGGGGGGGGGCTTGGCGAAATAAAACTTGACAACATTTTGCTAATTTATATAATTATAAATTCTATCTATGCTTACAATAATAAAAAAAAAAATTATAATCTTTGCTGGTAATCTTTCACTGACTGATGACACTGACTCGATTAAGAAAAGTATTGAATCGTTTAGTGCAAGTCCTCCCTACTACTTGGGTATGTACTTGAGCAGCTTGACCTCGTGCGTGAGCCACACGGCCAGCGACAGCAGCACCAGCGAGCCCGCCTGGTGGCTCGCCGCCAGCGCAGTGGGCACGTAGCACAGCAGCGTGGCCACGCCCAGCCCCGCCTGCCGCGACACACATAGTTATTACTGAAATTACCCGTCATCGTCCTCGTCGAACCCGTCGCTTGCAACGAAGGGCTCGACGAGTAAATTAACCCATAGACACAGCCCACTGAGTTTCTCACCGGATCTTCTCAGTGGGTCGCGTTTTCGATGCAGTGCTAGATTCTGCGAAGCACGGTTCTTGCTACGGTTTATGTTAGCAACGTCGTCAGGTTTGAGCCCCGTGAGCTCACCTACTAGTTAAGGTTACGCTGATATAGCCTCCCAAGGCTCTTCTCAGCTTAGGTAGAAAAAAAAACTGAAATTATAATTTTGGCGGGTTTGGATTTTGATTACACGATGTGGATCCTACACCGTGGAAGTCAATCATGAACATTTGTTAAATACCTATTATACCACAGAAATCGGTACCCGCTTGCGGGATTCGAACCCCGACAGTCGGACCGGGCGTCTAGTCCGGCCGCGACTTCACAACTGAAGGATATTTACATATAAGGAAGGATATATATAAATCTACAGTGGTTTTCACGGATGTTCCGTTATAACTACTGAACCATGCATCCGATTGACTTGAAACTTGGTATCCATGTAGAAATTACATGTATTTAATGGATAGACTAATATTTATATGAGTGTTGGACTCCCTACACCAGTTGCGGGAACGTTAATGATGAGAATCTTTGTGGGGGTGGGAAATAATAATGTTAATTTTAAATGCCCAACGAAGTGGATGGGTACAGCTAGTCTACATATCGACGCTTGAAAGGCAAACGTGACTAAGCGACAATGCGTGAACTTTACAGTAGACTAATTTAAAGTTGAAATACCTGAAAAAAAATCTATTTTAACGAATCTAGCTGTAGGATTGAAATTATTTTAAAATACCAAGAAATATATTTTTTTTGCGCATTGAATATGGTTATTGCCTATCATTTATGTACAAAGCAGTTATTGTCGCTTAGTCACGTTTGCCTTTCAAGCGTCGATATATAAAGTAAGCAGCCCACCTGCATCCAGGCCATGGCGGCGAGTGCGCGCGCGGCGGCCCGGGCGCCCGGGGACAGCGGCCTCCCGCGCGACAGCAGCCACAGCGCGGTGGCGGCCGCCAGGGTGCTGGCGCCCAGCACGCGGTGGTCGAACTGCACGGTAGTCGGGTTCTCGGTAAAGTTCTTGATTGTGGGCGAGAATGCCAAGATGTCATCGGGAAGCCAATTGTCTCCCATTTTGGGGAAGGAATTGTAGACCAGGCCCGCGTCTAGACCCGCCACGAACGCTCCTGTGACGTCATTCATTATTACTTACAGATACCGTCTTCTGCACACTTCAGTCAATCGAGTTCGAGTTCGCCCAACTGTGGAAGTCTGACTACGGTCACTGGCACCACAACTATTATATTTATTAATATATAATACATATATTCTCTTTTGTTTAATATTGACAAAAATAAAGTCCCCCAAAGTCCTCCAAGTAATTATTTTTGTAAACACTAAAGCTCATCAACCAAAAGCGAATAATCAAAACGAAAAAAGCAAATCTTTTTAACAAGCAGGGAAATAACAGCTAGTCGTTTTGTTTTTACTCGTTCGTGTACCGACTTGTGGGGGAGGCGGAATCTTCAAAGGGCAACCCCTTCCTTCCTTCTAATTGCTGCCGCGTAGCGTGCGCAGTTCTGTAGTGGACAATCACACTGCAATACTGGGGAGACTTCCACCTGATGTCAGATCGATCTCTAGCCACGTTCTATGACCCCTGTTAACTTGGCAACCGCTTCACACCGCGAGACCCATGGGTCGTGGCGGCCGACACAAGCGAGTACACGCGGGACTGACCGGAGACGGCCGTGATGAATGTCATCGCCTTGACGGCGTGCGCGAGGCCGGTGATGCTCTTCAACTCCTTGATTTTCTGCAAAGTAGCCGCCGCCGGGAAGGGGCGGAGCACCCTCAGGGCTCCGCCTAATAATCCCGCGTACAATATGAACGCCAGACTTAAGTGCGCGGCGAGCCTGTACTGCGAGACCCTCGGGACATCTGAAGGTCCATGGAACCTGTCTTCTAATCCTGATTTCACCATGTACCAGCCCATCAGCCCCTAGAAAGTTGTTTTATTTTCATTACTATTGGTGAGTAGATAGTATATAGTTGAGTGGTTGCAGAAGCCTACAGACGAGGCCACGACCATGTCGCTCTCCACCTCGACACATGAGGCTGACGTCTCACTTGTGCGGTACAACGCTTGCCTTCAGGACAGTAGAACCCGCGCACTAGGGGACGCAGCGAGCACGCCGAGAGGCGCGGGTGCATGGTCATTACCCGATATTATTCCTTCATCATGGAAATCATTCGCAAAGATAAGTACATACTTTAGTAGAATTTTGGAACCTATCTGTGGGGTTCGGACACCGGCGCAGTCGCATCGCTCGATACAATTGCACCGGGCGCATTACACTTTAAGCCAAGAGAACACTTCCTTCCTCCCTTCGTCCTTTAGGTCACTTTATGCGCGTGAACTACTCTGAGCAACCACCAGCACTAGGAGTCGGCCGTCCCCTTCTAACAACCGCGATAGAGAGCGACAGTGAGAGTTTCCAGAATGCTTCCTTGATTGCTGACCTGAGCAGCCACTAAGCCGCAGTATACGGCGACCCTGATCTTCATGTCCGGGAGGAGCATTCCCCGGTACCAGAAGTAGGCGGCGGGGAGGAACATGGCGGCTCCGATGGCTCGGCCCCAGGTTCGGTGAGCGAACTCCATGTACCATATCCATTTGAAGTCTGAGAATGTTATGTTCTGATTTTTGCTGAAAGGCAATCCGATTAGTGTAGATAGGCAAACGAGTTCACGTCCCGCCTGGGGAGGTGGTCACTATAGATTAAAGACTTTACGACTTCAATGGCACCTGGAAACATGCGGTCGAAATCAATAATGTAACAGCTACCCCACCCTAGAAGCCGGAGCGCAGACCGCGCCCGCTGGCTGGACGGTTAGGACGCTACGGAGCGCGCGCAGGGTGAACACATACTGCACACAAGAAAGTTTGATTTATACTACACAAATGTTAATCTTTCATCGTATAAATCAGAAACTTTTACGTGTAGGGCATGTATTGACTTAAAGACACACAGGTCTCCCGGTGCCCGGGGTCTCATCCACGCGCGACGTGTGCACAGGGCTCCTGCGATCCCCCATTGCGAGGCATTACGTCACTGAAACGTCAGTGAGAAATTATGTTCTTGTGTAAATAAAATATGAAGTCTTCCTACCATATTGGTGGCAGGCCCTCTTGTGAGCCCGCACGAACGGGTACCACCGCCCCGCCTATTTCTGCCGTGAAGCAGTAATGCGTTTCAGTTTGAAGGGCGGGGCAGCCGTTGTAACTATACTGAGACCTTAGAACGTATAGCTAAAGGTGTGTGGCGCATTTACGTTGTAGATGTCTATGGGCTCCAGTAACCACTTAACGCCAGGTGGGCTGTGAGTTCGTCCGCACATCTAAGCAATAAAGAAATAAAGTCATTTCGTCTGCCGGTCGGAACTTACTATTTAAACTCTGGATACTGCTGATACTTCTCGAACTCTTTTTGCCACTCCTCTTCATTCGTGGGCATCTTCTCTCCGAGGAGTCTCCACGTGACCATAGACAAACCGGATTCTGTCAGTCGGGTGACGCCACCTACAGGACAATCCGGGTAATTACATTTCGTTCTGTCAAGATGGGTAGCCATTAAAACATTGTATGCATGAATGCCGTCCAAGCCCTGACTCATCCATTGAACTATAATCTAATTGTAGACGTATGCGTCTTTGCTCAGCGACAGACGGTCTAATGTTGTTCAGAATTTGTATAGAGAAACTTATGTTGAATTTATCGTTAGCGCGACCAAGAATCAACCAGCTATCCAGGGTTACATTCTAAGACCTGCACATATCGTTCAACGTTAAAAGAGCTGCAGTTAAAAACGTACTTTACGTAACGATAACCATTTTTCACTGCAATTTGGGTAAATTATTGAATACAAAGAAAATGTCTTTTTAAAGTTTACACGGTCTCCATATTTTCAGAGTTCTCTCGTATATGTAAAAATAATTTCTCCTTGTGATAAATCTGTGGAAGGTCATGAAGTTATTACTTGACTATATAAGTATATAATTCATAAAAACTTAATTTCTTCTGCAATGCCAATTTTTTTTAAAGTACTTACTTATCACGCCCGTAAACACAATTAAATTATCGGAGCCCATAAAAACAATTTGAGCACCACCGTCCACCAGGAGGTGCTTGATAAGGTATGAGATGGAAGTCTCAACAGTACTGCAATATCAGAATGCATGACTGCTTCACGACAAAAATATGATGGTGATATCAACACCTACGCGCTTGCGACCCCAAAACATTAGTAAAGCTGGGGACTAGGGGCATGAAGAATACGGGAGACTAAAGATAATTGAACACAGAATACTTTCACTACGAACGAGTTCAGGGCGTAACAACAGAGTGTTGGTTTTCGAGAATCATTCCCATACAACTTATATACACATAGATAACTTGTTATACGCAAGCAGTATAGTACTTTATACTGCCAACTAATTGACATGTTAGCTTTACTACTACTTGATGTACTTTATTCATCAAAATATGTAGTTTTATGTATTGCAATTACATAACTTAAAAACAGCTTACTGTACTTAACGGCCGTCTGGTGTAGTGGTAAGTGACATGGTCACTACACACGGGGGTCGCGGGTTCGAATCCCGCCAAGGAAAGATATTTGTATGATAAATATAAAATGTCTTATCCAGTGTTATGGATGTACATTAAACATATGTATGTGTGTATAATAAAAATCTTACATTTATTTCTGTTAGAAGAAAGAAGAAGAGAAATAAATTATGTCCTTTATAGAAATGACCTTTAGAAAACATTAAGAGGTAAAAAATCTCTAGCTTGCGATGTGTTATATAGACCCAATTAGTTTGATGTAGTACTAACAAAATTATCCAGCATTTAAAATTTCAGCTAGTACATTAAAGCATCCCAGTAATGCCCATAGCTGTCAACTTACATACGTAAATAAAAATGCATTAGATTTTAACACTTTTATTACAATTCATATTTATTATTACCCTTACTTATTTCTTTAATAGATTTATAGTTTAAATAACTTTTAATATCTAAGGGAGAGAATACAACTCAAAAAAAAATTGCAATTTACTGTATTATTTGTTTATGTTTTTTCTATTACGGAAATATAGTTCATCTTATTGTACAATGTTAGCTATGATGAATACAGACTTCTGTAATCACTTAAGACCAGGTAGGGATTAAGCTCATTCACTTATATATAAACAAATTAATTAGAAGTAAAATTTTGCAATATTTATACAATATAAATATTCCAACAAAATGTATTATAGATTTTTTTAGTATAATTATATGGTATTGTTTATCTTATTTACATAAATTACCTACTTACATTGAAGTCTTGTTTTGTTAAAGTGAATTTCCTACATTTCAAAGGAAGCAATGGGATGAAGCAATCATGTCATGATTTGGCAAGATGTTTGCACTCTTATATTGTGGATAATGGTTTTTTAATATAGGAATTACATAGGAAACCAGACAATGATATAGAAGGATCATTAGGAATTTCTCAGTCTATTTCATATAGATTCATAGTTGAATAGATTTATAAATCAAAAGCCTTTTCAAGCTTTTGTGAATCATATAATTTTTCTCACTTCATAGCTACAATTAGTTCTATAACTATAAGTAGATGGGTTCTAATTGAATCTTGGTATGAGTGTACCCTAACACTGCTCATAGTACGTAGGTAGACATAAATAACAAACATCTTTATCATTTTAAAACTTTTGAGATTTCAAATAGTTTAAGCTGGTCATGCCATATACCAGACACTTCCATAACAGTAGATATTTTACTAATGCTCATAAAGATGGAACCAAACAACTATATTACTTGTTACCCTGGCTAGTATTAAGTATTAGATTAACAATATAATAAATACTGTAAAGCATTATAATATATCCAGATACCATACCTAGTACTACAGCAGTGAAGACCATACCACTGCATCCTAGTAGCCAGTATCCAACTGCTTTTGACGTCTTCGGTTTAGGAGTTGAAGAGCAAAATCGCATTATAATACTGTTTGATTTTATTGTGCTGCTTAGCTGGAATTAGAATCATAATCTTAAAATAAAAATCAAATTATTTGTAAAAAAAAAGATTGTGCAATTGATTTGCATATCGGCGCTTGAAAGGCAAACGTGACTAAGCGACAATGAGTGAACTTTACAGTAAAGTAATCTAAAGTCGAAATACCTGAAAAAAAATCTATTTTAACGAATCTAGCTGTAGGATTGAAATTATTTTAATATACCTAGAATTTTTTTTTTCTTTTTCGCATTGATTATGTTATTGCCTATCATTTATGTACAAAGCAGTTATTGTCGCTTAGTCACGTTTGCCTTTCAAGCATCTATATGTATATTTATTGTAAATATCATGACAACTATAAATTGCAAATCCTGGTTTTAACCTCTTAACTTGAACTGTATGTATGTGTGCACTGTATTCAATCAGATATTATACTTACACTTAACCTTCCTAGGATGTTATATCTGTGCGTTTTTGTAGTTGTGATAATTTGCCTTGAAATAATACTGTTACTGAAGCCATTTCTAGATGACACCAGGAGTTTACTTTGCACTGCATTTAGAGACTGCTTACATTGACAAAGTCGTGAGAGGTTCAGCATGGCTGTACAACTGTTAGGTATACTGATGAATAGACTGAAATTTGAAATTATTATATGAAAGGCTTTATGTTGAGCGAATGCTTGAATTTTTTTATTTTTAAAGCAAATAAATCATAACATTATATGGAAATTGATGTTTCTGAATGGTAATTTTAAGTATTTTAGTAAAACAAATTTGTTATCAAAATTGAAACACCCTAGTTTTAATTTAAATCATATTTACTTTGCCTACTATTACCATAAAGTTTACCTTGGAAGCTTATTAACACAGTGTTTATTCACTTTTTGTTTGAAACACTCCTGTATTAGAAATTCCATTATAAATACAATTTTTTTTTTTATTTATGTGATTGATCAACATTGCTACATGGTGATAGTATTTTATGTGATACTTATTCAAATTAGCATTGTTCACCCATAACCTTAGTTCATAAATTATTTGTAGTGTTTAATCACAATTTTATACGATAAATTTCTTTCATGATGAAAAATTAGTATTTGGCTTACATCTTAGGCATGCTGGTATATTTTAGCAGCTCTTAGTGAATATTTTTTTAATGGATTTATTGTCACATATTACTTCTTATTAAAATGGGGCCAAAGAACAAATAGGCTCCTACTTAAAATATTATGTGAACAGTGGTGTGATATGTGTGTGTGTTGCTGTGATATTTTTTAACAAGTGGGTAGGATTCTCTTCGTATTTTTCGCAGGTCAAAACTTTAGTAGGGTAGTTTTGTAGTTTCTTTTAATAACAAGATATTACAAAATTAAGTATTTTCGATACATTCTGGTATCGATGTCAAGAACAGACTTAAAGTCAATTGAACCGTTGGCACGTAATATTTAGTGGTAAATGTTAATAAATATATGGTGAAACAACCCTTACCAGAATCATAAAAGAAATTTCAAGTTTTATTAACTCCTTATTTTATCTTATCTAGTTTAACGTGGTTGACTTTAATTTAAAATTTTATTAGATTACAGATACTTATTATATAGTTAACTATGCTTGTTACTCTTTGAATCTTTTTGTAAATTTATTTGAAGTTATAAATTAGAGTTAAAGTGGTAGCTTAAATGTACAGTTAAATAGTAAATACGGTAGGTAGGTCTGTATGTACTAAATTCGATTGTCCAATAATAAATGTTAAGGCATGTGACAGATGTCAAAATGATATTTCTAGAGTCGAGATGATGTTTTAGTTAATGTTCGAATGTAAAAATTGTTTGTTTGTTTTTATTCATTTAAAATTAATTAAACTCTTTTTAATAAAACGTCTTTTATTTATATAGAATTAGTTAAACAAATGATCACCACATGAATGTAAATGTAATGCACACAAAATCTGTTATCTAGTAAAGGGAGCCAACTTAAGGATGATCATTTGTTTAATTAATTTTAAATAAATAAAAACGAACAAACAATTTTTACATTCGAATTAACGAACAAACGACGAACAAATAACTAAAAATAAAAAAAATTCGAAAATCAAAAAAAAGGGGGCCACGTTTAGTGAGCCATTATCAGCATGATTCTTCTTAAGTTGTTTTGTTCTGGTTACATGGCTTAAGTTTATTGTGAACTGTTTTATTTTTTCATATTAGATTTGTTCTCAGTTTCTGATTATTATTTCATTATTTTTATATATTTAAATAAATAAATATATTTTTTTTTTTAAACTTTAATAGTAAATTTAATAATATTGATAACCAAGCAAGCAAGAGAAATATGAATATTTATGGTTTTATTTCTACACTAGCGGCACGCTCCGGCTCCGCTCGGGTCTTTAACAAAAATATCAACGACGTTTTTTTATTTTATTTAAAATAAAAGAACACTTATTGCGGCATATCTGTTATAGTTAGACATATGCTGTCGCGACACTTTTTGTAAATAATAATGTGTTCTATAAAGTCGTAGTACATTATTTTATTCTATCATCAATAGTCTTCGCAGGGCACGCGATGTAAAGAATATTTTAGGTATTTTTTTTACACCTTGGGTTATATTATTGGAGTTTTAGTAAGGGCCCTAATTTTTTTCAAAAAAGATTATAATATGTCACTCGGTAATGTGTACCTTCCAAACTGTGAAAGAATTTTTCAAACCGGTTCAGTAGTTTCGGAGCTTATTCAATACAACAAACAAACAAATCTTTCCTCTTTATAATATTAGTAGAAGTAGAAATAAACAATATGTACATACGGTACGCAGAACCTCTTAAAATTTGTACAACTAAACAAATGACAGGCAAAGAACTCCACATAGATAATACATTTAATATATTGAGAAGTTTGAGAAATCCACAGTAAATATTATAAGTGACTTAAGGTTTAATTTAATGAGTTATCATTGAATTACATAATTACGCTTTGATAAGATTATTCGTGTTTGTTTTATTCACAACAGGAGGTCTTTAATACGGTTTCACATTGAAAATATTCAGAAGTAACTATGAATTTTGCCGGCAAAGTCGTTATCGTAACCGGTGCCAGCTCCGGAATTGGAGCGGCCACCGCCGTATTCTTATCAAAATTAGGCGCTCAACTATCTTTGACGGGAAGAAACGTGGAGAACTTGCAAAAAGTGAGTAAGGACTGCGACAAATTTGCGTCAACACTGTCAATAACCGCAGATTTGACCAAAGAAAGTGATATTGAGAAAATCATTAAGAAAACCATTGACCATTACGGAAAGTTGGACGTTTTAGTGAATAATGCCGGTATTATTGAAACTGGAACCATCGAGAACACCTCCTTGGCCCAGTATGATCGTCTTATGAACACCAATGTGCGTTCAATTTACTATCTGACGATGCTGGCGGTCCCTCATCTCCTCGAAAGCAAAGGGAATGTTGTAAACGTATCGAGTGTTAATGGGATTCGCTCTTTCCCTGGAGTTCTGGCATACAACATCTCCAAAGCATCTGTTGACCAATTCACTCGCTGTGTTGCTTTAGAATTAGCACCGAAAGGAGTCCGGGTTAACTGTGTCAATCCTGGAGTAATTCTAACAGAGCTACAAAGAAGGGGAGGGTTGAGTGAGGAGCAATATGCAGCATTCTTAGAGAGGACTAAAGAAACTCATGCATTGGGACGTCCAGGTAAACCAGATGAGGTGGCAGCAACAATTGCATTCCTTGCCAGCGACTTGGCAAGTAATATCACTGGTGCCAGTGTGCCAGTCGACGGTGGACGTCATGCTATGTGTCCGCGCTAAATTTGAACTACTATCATGAAACAAAATCAGGGTGCCATTTTATTACAATTTGATTTACCATAGTATATAAGCTAAATTTTATATGCATTTAATGAAAAATCGGGAAAAACATAAGTTTTATTATATAAATGTATTCATTTTTAAGATTTTTATTTTAATAAAGTGCTATTGTTGGTAATGTTTTGTTTCAATTTTTAACTGTTAAACTGGTACACAGAAAGCTACCTGGCATCTCTTAATTTCTCTCTGCCTTAATTTGCACTTGTCTGCGGACAGACTTGGGAGACAAGCATATTACAGCCTTCCTAGTTACTGCCATGAAATACCATTTTCCACATAATGTTTATAACTTCCTTTTATTTAAAGTAAGAATTTACATGCGCTGTAGTTTTTTGATTATTCGAGAATTTGTAAATGAAAAACAAATTTATCACATTTTTTATTCATAAATTATTAAAATAGATTCTAATAAAATAATTATAAGGTGTTATAAGTACTTAAAACTTATTATCACTGTTTACTGAACACTTCTATTTTATCAGACCTCACAAATTATTTAATGTTCACTTGTATATTCTCTAATATTATTATTTATTAGTTTAATTACTTACTTAATTTAGACTTTTTATTTTACTATTAAACTACATCATTATGACTAAAAATACAATATAATGTTATTTAAGCAAATTTTAGGTTGAATTTGGATTTTATTTAAGTAAGGAGATTATTTTTATGGTTTTAATAGTTCATTAGCAGGTACAGTAGCAAATAGTTTTTTTGTCTCATCAACGCATGCTTTGATGATTTGTTCAAAGGCGACTGGTGCTATATCTCTGATCACAGGCTCCCAGTTTGTGTTGATAGCTGTATGTACGGTTTCACCTGGAAATTATAGAACATCTTTATTTTACAGATTGTGTTTTGATTTGACTGGTGACTTATTCTCAATATCATTTCGTTATCTAGTTTAATATTGATAACTCATTAAATTAAGTTATTGTTATAGAATGAAGTGGGTGATATTTGAAGGTTATCAGTTTAGAGCAGCATGGAATTTACACCATAACGTAATGTAGTTAAGAAATTATAAAGAGTTTTGGCCCAAGAAACCTTATTAATATCGTTGGCCGTAGGCCTACTTAGTACTCCAGCATTATACTACTATTTATTAATGGCGTCAAAACGAAAGTTCCTATCGACATTATAATATATTAGTGTATTAACCAAATCTTAAGTAGGTAGGTATAAAAAGAAATAAATCATAAATAGGATTGACGAAGTATTTCTTCTTTGGATTCTTGAGACTTGAGCGTATAAGAGGCGAAGGTTGAATTCTGTCTACTTAAACATAAGCGATTGGGGGATGAAGATCCCTGCTCAAAAAATACGATAGTGCAAAATTTACATATAATACATTACAAATGATAATTAAATTTGCTCAAAGAAACGCACGAAATGCCAACGTGCTAAATCAATCGTTGCTAAATTACATGCAAAAAAGATAAGTGCGCATACGTCAAGCAAATATTTTAAAGATAGGACACATTCAGAATTGAAGTAAGCAGCTGAAGCAAAAATAAAAAAATAATTAACTGTAGATAAAATGGCACTTCATTTCAAAAATTTTAAATCGTAAATATAATTTTTTTATCATCAGATGAGGATGATCAAATTTCGATGATGCGAATAACAGTTGGGGGACATTCTTCTCAATAATTAGCATGAAATAACAGTAAAACTGTTGAAATTCTGTTGAAAGTGGCGCCATTCGAACTGATAATTTCATATTTTTAATGAATATGATAAATCTTAGACAGCACCAAAATTGAACTGTTTAGTAACATTCATAAGGTCAAGGTGCTGGTTTTCCATTATAAATAGTTATTTACGAATAAGCGGTTCTCTTTTGAAACAAAACGGGACTTATTCGTTAAGAATCTTATTTAATTCTGCATTATTTGTACCATTTTAATTTCTAACTAATTACATCAGCCACTATTTTTTGCAGTATTAGTCTCGTTTTCTTTCTTTGCGAGTTGCTAATGACAAATTAGTTATAACAGGGGTAATTAGTAATAACATAACATATAAATTTAACCTAAAGAATTAGCATGAAATATAACAGTTAATAAAATCATGAATTTTCTACCGAACCATTCACGGCCGTAATAATTCGGTGGCGGGAACTGCTCCGAAAAGTTGTTTTACTTTCTCCACGCAACTGCTTATGATCTGGTTGAGCGCCGGTGGTGCTATTTCTTGCATTATAATCTCCCAATTTTGATTGGTGAATTTTTCTGTTGTTTGAGCTGTAATTGGAGAGTGGAAAGGTGCATTTGATACTGTGCTTTCTGTGTACCAGTGGAGATTGTTATTGCGTAACAGTGCGTTTCAAAAAAATATATATCAATGAGTATCAGTAGCACTTTGAAAGATCCTCGTTCCAAAAAGGTTAAGCATAGTTTGAAACTATCGATTATTAATAAACCGTATAAATAGACTACGCAAGTAAAATTAAACAACAATATATTCGATACAGAATGCAAATTTTGGAAATTTCAAACAACTTTGTATCATGATTATTTTTAATATGGTAATGCTAATTATTGTTAAATTTTTTAATATGTATGAATGTCAATTCGCCTATTAGAGTGGTATTCAATTTTGCTTAATTTGAAACGCACGATTACGTACACACCGAGGAAAGTTGAAAAAAAATGTGTGAAAAAGGACTAATAGATCCCTAAGGGTTAAAATAGTTTGTGCCCTGAAGGAAGTAACTGATCCAATGAGAACAAATGGCAAATATGGTTTTTTTTGTGACGGAAAGAAATTGTTGGACTTTTGTCTACATATACTTAGACGGCGATAGACAAAGTATGTTATAATTGAATCGATTAATATCTGCGTTCGAGTTTCAGGTGAGACAGAACTCACTCGACGCATGATGATGGCAAGGCAAAGCGTTTCGCATGAAGCACATGTTTCCCAACCAGCTTACACCCGTGGACGCTAAAACGATCACTGTCGGCGCCATGATCACTGAGCCCCGATTGGCGGTCTACCCGAATTTTGTCTAGATTGCGCTACCAACTTGTACTCCCGGGATACTCCGCTGGGTTAGAACCGGCGCCAGTCAGCGAGTGCGGTCATCCAAGATCGAGTTGTTCTTTTGCAAGATGCGTGTAAAGCAGCTTACATATCAAAAATACATAGGGGGCCAAGACACGGGCGAGATGCCGAGAGACAGGAGCACGCCCCACCCTCTACTTCTGCAAGCGGTTCATTTTTAGAAGTTGAGCGTATGTCCTCCACCCTGAATAAGTTCCACCCACTGTGATGGCATCTTGTCGTCGGCCTAGCTCCGATTTGAAACTACCACATTTAGTATCACCTGCACCATCGGAAAGGTACTTACCGGTGCCAAAATTGAAAAAACCAGTACCCCAAGGTAAACAGTATTATTCCATTTTACGCGAATGAAGGAAGGAGCAGATGCCCTCCTTGGTCCTATAGGCTACGCTCCACATGCCCTTATAAATATTTAATCCCTTTATTTAATGAAATCAAATATCTTACGCGCGGAAAGTAATCGTTAATCAAAATATAATGTTCTTTCTGACCAAATCTTTATAATTAACCTTTGATTTATGTTATGACCCAGCGATATCATTCGATTTAACCACACTATTTTGTTATTGTCACAATAAAAAAATACGCGGTTACAGCTCTTGAAACTGAGAATAAGTTCAAAAAAGAAGAAACTAAGAAATCAAAATCATAAAATAAATCAAATATTAAACCTAAGTTTATTGGGCAACATTACTTACTTTTCAGATATTGTTCAGTGACTACATTACGACCCTTGAATTGAGTACATAAACCTTCTATTTTCTTTTGAACGAGCGAGTGAACGAACTCACAGCCCACCTGATGTTAAGTGGTTACCGGAGTCATAAATGCCGTCACCTACCTTGAGATATAAGTTCTAAGGTCTCAGTATAGTTACAACGGCTGCCCCAGCCTTCAAACCGAAACGCATTACTGTTTCACGGCAGAAATAGGCAGGGTAGTGGTACCTACCCGTGCGGACGCACAAGAGGTCCTACCACCAGTCAATTATTTTAACCCAGTATTTTAACCCTTCAATATTGCTCGTATTGTTTTTTTAATGAGCACAGAAATCGTCGTGCTTCTGCATTCGGGTAGCACCGAGATCAGAGTTCAGTTTGCGTTTTGTTACAATAATAATTTTAGGTAGGTTATTTGTTTATTACCTAGCTCCTTGTTTCCCCCGAAGAGGTTGTTGAACTTGAACTGAGCTCGGTCCATTTTGTAGTGGTCCTTGTAGCCGGTCAGCACCCAGTGGCCCGCGACTGTCGTGAAGTCGTATGTGACCACGATTCTCAGGTTTGCTAATGTTAAAAAAAAAACATCATTTACCTGTTAAAGTCCAGCAGTTTAAAGTGGATCCAAATTTAATTTCATAGGATTTCTGACCTTAGTACAAGATTATACAATAACCAGATGGGGCAGATGGTTAGGGTCCAAACCGACTCATCAGCAATGGGAACGTGTACTAGATATTTCACTGTTAGTTCTACTTGTCTAGAAATGTTATCAGTATATGACGTAAGTTGTGAGTTTGCGAAATATTTCTTTGTTGTTATTTTTTTTTCTTTTTTTATTGATTAGATGTGTGGGCGAGCTCACGGCCCACCTGGAGTTTAGTGGTTACCGGAGCCCATAGATATTTACAACTTAAATGCCGCCACCTACTACCTACCTTGAGATATGAGTTTTAAAGTATCAGTATAGTTACAACGGCTTCCACGCCCTTCAAACCGAAACGCATTAGCTACTGTTTCACGGCGGAAATAGGCATGGTAGAGAGAGGTATGGACGTATCCGTGCAGACCCACAAGACGTCCTACGACTAGTAAAATTGCCCATCACAGATTTCAAGGAATTTTTGAGCAATTTCCGACTAATCTGTAAGTAAGTTGGTTAAGTGCTTTTTGTAATACGTGATAGGTGTGCGACGGTTCGTCAAAGTATTTATTAATTGATGAATTTGTTGAAGAATCACTCCTATTGTTGCTAATACTAATTACGATTTTAGGGCTACTTTTCGAAAATCTCAGAGACGCGCGATATTGGCTTCTTCAATTGTGTTTATTTAAATAACTTCACGGTACTTGTATTTCGTAAATCTTTTCTTTTATAAACGGCTATGTCAATTAAAAAGTCGTTGTTCTGTGGTACACTTTGATGTATCAGGCTGATTTATTCCTCTAATGTGTATGTGTGTTCAAGTTACTTAAGAAAGTGTACCTACAATTGGACTATTTTGAATGTAAAGCGTGTTTAAATATTTTCACGATCAAGGCTCTCAGCATACATTGCTTTGAATACTATCAAGTACCTACGCTGTCTGAGACGTTGAGTTGAATACTTAATACATTAGTATTCATACGCCAAGGCTCTGCACAGGATATCAAAATTTTATAACTATACTGAACTGTGTTCTCAAATAATCTATCTATCTATCTATCTGTATATATATATATATATATATATATATATATATCCTGCAACACTTTTGGCATCCAATGAACACAAAAGTACATTTAAAGTGGCGACCACCGACATTTGGCGACCAATATGCGGTCGCCACTTTGTTTCTCAATATTTTTTACACCAATCAACTGTAGATGGAGTTATGGTTACTATATCAATTTTTGAGATGGTTACCAAATTGCCTCAGAAACGTTTGAAAAAGCATATCGCAGTGTCGAGCGGTGCCGCCAGAGGGTGTGTATACGTAGCGCTGTATATTGGCTTTTACTATACCGATGATTTGGCGTCGCCAGCCAGCTCGAAATTTCGCTTAACAACGTGACGTTACCGACTATTCACTTCGGATTCAAATTTCAAAATATTTACTTTATTGTAAGGCGCGTGTCGTGTAGCCCACTTATTAATAGTAGTACTAGTAATTATTGCGGTATTGCGGTCAATACATTGACATTGATAAATTTTTAACTAAAAAAGATTTTGTTTGATGTAGAAAACACCAACTAATTTGTCCCTTGAAGGTCACTCATTTTATAAGAATGAATAAATGTTTCAACTGTAATGATAGCGTTCATAGTATCATACATATACAGAGCCCGTTACATTTCGTAACAAGCATGAACAGAAATTATATTAGAGCATTAGATCAAAGTTTTTTTTTGGTGCCAAATTTGCAATTATATGATGAACGTTTACTATAATTATCAAGCTAGGTTCATCTAGGTTTACTTCTACATATTGATTAGTGGCCTTAATTCTCTTTTGTTTATAATCAAAATGGATAAAAACCAAACGAGAAATGAATAATATTATTTTTATTATTTTGCAAGATATCGCATAGTATTAGCCGGCATTACTTATAATATTCTTGTCGCTGTTTATGCGCTAAGATTTCTTGTGTAGAAGAAGTAAATCACCCTCAAATTCCTGACACTGAAACTTTGTAGATTACTAGGATCACCGGTGACACCTTATTTCGGATTTTGATTCTTAAGATAACAAAAATCATATTTAAATAACTATAGCGAAAATCAAGAGTCGGATATGTAGTCATAAAAAGTTTCTTTCGTTTTCTCATTAATGCTCGAAATGTTCGAATTTCAGATTTTTCAACACTTCTGTACCAGGACTTGATGATTATACTAAATTATAATAAATAATTAATATATAATAAATAGTAAGGTAATAAATAATAATAAATAATTATTTATAAGATTATTAATAATAACATAGGTATTTGTATATGATTTTTTAACATGGCAGTGCTAGCTTTTTAACATGGCATGCAGCTAGCTGCCTACTGTCAGACTCTTAACGAAGAAATTATTTAAGCTCAAGGTCTTAAACATAACTAAATCTGCAGGCACAGGTGGCATCAGAAATCGCTGACGAAAATAATTTTGAAAACAGCGCGAATTTCACTTTGAATTCTGATATAAGTACATACTTCAGACATTCACAAATATTAAATACACTATTTAATTCAAAATGTGATCCGCCTACGTCTACCCATGGGGATGAGTACTTACTGCTTTTTGCAATAAAAAAGTTCAGTATTTTTTGCATCATTATAGTGCAGTCCATGAATAAAATCTTAATGTAATGCAAAAATCTTAATGCAACTCCCGATTTAGCCAGTTTTAATAATAGTTCAGTTTTGTCAAAAGAAATAAGTAACATAGTACTAAGAACACACAAACACACAAAAAGAAAATCAAAAGGTTACGTCTTGCTGCTTGAGCAGTACGTGGTCCTTGGTGACTTTAACGCTCATCATCAAGGGTGGTTGGGGTCCAGAACCACTGACCTCCCGGGTCGGGCTGCCTACGATTTCGCCTTGCCCTACGACCTCACTCAGCTGGTGACACATTCCACCCGTGTCGCAGACATTAAGGGACATGAGCCTTCTTTGTTGGACCTTCTGCTGACATCTCACCCAGCAGGATACAGTGTGGTGGTCGACGCTCCCCTTGGATCGTCTGATCACTGCTATATCCGTGCTGCGATACCACTCTCTCGCCCTAGTCGTCGAATGATGACCGGGTTTGTAAGAGTTTGGCGGTACAGGTCAGCAGATTGGGACGGATGCGTGAATTTTACGCATCCTACCCACAGGGGAGGCTCTGCTTTTCCTCCGATAATCCTGACATCTGTGCGGATCGACTTAAAGATTAATTAATTATTAATCTGTGCTCCAGGGGATGGAATTATTCATTCCTTCTTCCGAGTTGCCCGTTGGGGGTCGCAGCAAACCCTAGTATAACAAAGCCAATAGAGAAGCTGCACACCTCAAGTGGTCCGCATACGCGGCATGGAATAATGCAAGGAGACGCCAGGACTCCGCCATTTCGGAGGAGAGGCGGAAATTTAACGCCGCCTCTAGGTCCTATAAGAGGACTATTGCCAAGGCGAAGTCGGAGCACGTTGCCAGAATTGGTAAGCGACCTAAAGGCTATCCCTCTGGGAGCCGTGCTTTCTGATCGCTGGCTAAAGCTGCAGAAGGCGACTTCTGCAGGTCTTGTCTGCCACCACAACGTAAGTCCGATGACAGTCTGGCCCATAGTGCGAAAGAGAAGGCTGATCTTCTGGTCAAACTCTTCGTCTCGAACTCCACTATGGATGACAGGGGTGCCACACCACCCAACATCCCCTGGTGTGATAGCTCTTTGCCTGAGATCTGCTTTACACAGTGTGCAGTCAGGCAGTAGCTCCAGGCCCTTTTTTTTTTTTTTTTTTTTTTTTTTTTTTCGGGTAGAGGGCCGAACCTCCTACGAGGTCCCCGCGCAAAAGGGGCGCGCGGGGTATGTGAGACTCTACGATCTGCATGGTGTTATGAGCAGACCGCGGGACCAAGGATTTTAGGGCCCACCCACTAAACGACTCCCCTGCACTCTTACACCCGACGTCCGATCCCCTCCNGCAATAGACCGCACCACCCCCACGTAGAGGCGGCGCACCACCGTGTCAGGCCCTCCGACGTTTGGCAAGAGCCGACTCAGCGATCCAGCCGTCGCCATCAGTCGGGGGCCCAACTTCTCGAAATGAGCGCGGAAGTTCCAACGACCGTCCAATTCGAGACCGAGGTACCGTAACCCAGTCACCCCGACCTCGACGCGGACGCCTCCAATAGTAGCTCCAGGCCCTGGACGTCCATAAGTCGAGTGGGCCAGACTGCATCCCTGCAGTGGTTTTAAAACGGGCGCCCCTGAGTTGACACCTGCGCTAACGCGTTCGTATTGCCTCTTGTATAGTACTAACAGGGTTCAGTCTTCATGGAAGACCGCCCACGTCCACCCTAACCCCAAGAAGGGTGACCAGTCGGACCCATTGAGCTATAGGCCTATCGCGATAACTTCCTTCCTTTCCAAGGTCATGGGGCCAATAATGAATTCGCAACTCCTGCTGGCGATCCTCAAGATACCTATCTTGAGGATCGCCAGCTGATCAGTGACTGACAATACGGCTTCCGTCACGGTCGCTCAACCGGTGATCTTCTTGTATACTTTACTCACAGGTGGGCTGAAGCCTTGGAGAGCAAAGGCGAAGCTCTTTTTGTGAGCCTTGATATCGCGAAAGCCTTTGACAGGGTCTAGCATAGGGCACTTCTGTCGAAGCTACAATCTTACGGAATCCCCGAGGGTCTCTGCAAGTGGATCGCTAGCTTTTTGGATGGGCGGAGTATCATGGTCGTTCGGTGGCTGCTCCAATACGATAACCATTAACGCTGGCGTTCCACAAGCTTCGGTGCCCTCCCCCACGCTTTTCATCCTGTATATCAATGACATGCTATCTATTCATTGCCATGCAGATGATGACACGGGGGATGCGCGATACATCGGCCATCGGAGTCTTTCTCGGAGCGTGGTGCAAGAGAGACGATCTAAACTTGTGTCTGAAGTGGAGGACCCTCTGGGACGAATCTCCGAGTGGAGTGAATCGAACTTAGTTCAATTCACTCCGTTGAAGACACATGTTTGCGCGTTCACTGCGAAGAAGGACCCCTTTGTCGTGGTGCCACAATTCCAAGTAGTATCCCTGAAACCTTCCACGAGTAGTCCTTTAACGAATACTTTTGGACTGGACATTTCGAGCGATGTCCAGTTTTGGAATCATTTGGAGGGCAAAGCTAAGTTGGCGTCCAAAATGCTGGGAGTCCTCAACAGAGCGAAGTGTTACTTCACGCCTGGACAAAGACTTTTGCTTTATAAAGCACAAGCCCAGCCTCGCATGCAGTACTGTTCCCACCTCTGGGCTGGCGCTCCCAAATACCAGCTACTTCCATTTGACTCCATACAGAAGAGGGCCGTTCGGATTGTCGATAATCTCGTTCTCACGGATCGTTTGGCACCTCTGGGTCTGCGAAGGGACTTCGCTTCTCTCTGCATTTTGTACCGTATGTTCCATGGGGAGTGCTCTGAGGAATTATTTGAGATGATTCCATCATCTCGTTTTGACCATCGCACCGCCCGCCATCGGAGTAGAGTTCATCCATACTACCTGGAGCCACTGCGGTCATCCACAGTGCGATTCCAGAGATCTTTTTTGCCACGTACCATCCGGCTTTGGAATGAGCTCCCCTCCACGGTGTTTTTCGAGCGCTATGACATGTCCTTCTTCAAACGGGCCTTATGGAGAGTACTCAACGGTAGGCAGCGGCTTGGCTCTGCCCCTGGCATTGCTGAAGGCCATGGGCGACGGTGACCATTCACCATCAAGTGAGCCGTATGCTCATCTTCCTACAAGTTAGAACACATTTATTGTGTCTGCAAAGTTACCACTTATAATATTTTTAGACTAAACTTTAATGTAGTTTTTTCAAAGTTATTTACCTGTTTCTCCTACTGAATAATTATGGCATTAAGTACATTATTTTCATAATTTTGATAAATGACTGCACATGGCTTTCACAATTATAAGACCTGTGAATGGTAGTACATTTTGTCAGTAAATGAACATGTCAGAAGTACACGCTAATGGGAGGAAGTCCGACGTTTGTAGGAATGAATTAAGTATGCGGAACAATATACAGAGCTCCAATTTATTTCCAATAAAACGGTAGACTTATCTGTAGTGAATTGATTAGTAATATATTTAAATATACGCGGATGGGTTAAGTACACCAATGTGGTTTGGTGGTCAAAAGTACTGCGAAGAATATTGATATTAGTATATTAGTATTTTCTAGGATATTGCGACAAGGTGAATTTCGAGTTACATACTCAGTTTCATATTCGTTAATACGTTAATATATATGATTCATTTTGCTCTAAGTCTATTAGAAGTGGTGGTTGTCAGAAGGTTGGAAAATGAAAGGTTGCCAAAAGAGTTACGGGATTTATATATATATATATATATATATATATATATATATATATATAAATAAATTGCTGTTCGTTAGTCTCGCTAACACTCGAGAGCGGCTGGACCGATTTGGCTAGTTTTGGTCTTGAATTATTTGTGTTATTTTTAAAAGGTAGATAAATATGAAAATGCTCGGAATTAAATAAAAATAACAATTTTGTTTTTCTTTGATGTGTCCTCGAAAAGTTTAGGTCTATTATTTATCGATTGAGGCACTACGAAGTCTGCCGGGTCAGCTAGTAATTAAAAATATATTTATTTACCAATTATAATTCAAGTCGTATTATTGTCAATAAATAGAATTCTGCGAACGAAACGACTTATTAAAACGGAAAGGTTACGACATCTGTGTAACATCCGACTGTGCCAACACCGTGACCCTGTGGTAATTGCTGTGTTCCTTCAACGGGTTAAGCAAGTTTCCTATACTAGTACGAACACCGGCTACTTATGGTTTAATACCTTTTATTTATGAGACGAATTCACGACGTGCGTGATATTGAGATACAGAAAATCACCTCCCACCCACATCAGATGGGAGAATGGATTCGCGCGCGGCTACGCCTGCCATACCCTTCGAAATGAAACACCTGCCTGATTTGTCGCAAGACTAGGAACGATGTGAATATTTTTCTGTTCGATCGTCTGTGACCTTGTGTCGCACATGTGTCCTTGGTCCCGTATGTGGCATCAAGTGGGGTCTTCAAGCTAACGGAGAAGCTGAAATAGCCTCTCAAAGCTATCAGAACAAGTAGGGAAAAAAGACCCCCCTTGAGACATGGGATGCCACATACTGGACCAAGGACACAACACGGTCACGGCATTCTCTTTGTGTTGCCTATGGACCCTAGTAACGATTAAATATCAGACGGGCTCCGAGAACGAAGGTTCGTAAATAAATAATTTTCTGTCTGTGTGATTTTTGACTTACTGATTTTAATCTTAGCAGGTCCGTTGCCTCTGATGGGCAGGATCAGCACCTGACCGTCCATAACGTAATGAGCCTTCAGGGTGACATTGGCCGTGAAGTCTATCGTTGCTTTGCCTTTATCTAAATTTATTCTGAAAAAAAAAAGAAAAGAAGAATTATAATTTTTTGACCGTTATGGTTATTATTGTGTATAGAAAAAATGTTTTCTAAATAACGGTTTTGTAGTATGAGCTTTATTAGTTTCGCTGGACATGAGCGGTCTACCTGCCTGTTGAGGTGATTTGAGAGCCAATAGACCACACACCTTATAAACAGCAGCCCGTTTTGCGGCATGATATTAAATTCGCGCAAATGCATGTCTTCTTGTGGTCAGACACGAGCGAATGTGATTGGCTATTACCTAACCGATGTCAAGATAGGATGAGGTTCTCAATCCAACTGTATTGTTATGTGTGTTATCTCAGAGATTTTTTCTACGTGACCGAATTCTAATGATTTTTTAGTATTCGAAGGCTGGTGCTATTAAAGACGTCCCATCTTCTATTATATCAAGATCTGACCAATAGTTTTTGAGAAATCCTTAATATTTAACTGGCTTTCGTCTGCCCTGATGATATTTTCATTTTATTTTGTTAAAGACTTTTGTTAACTAACTTTTGTAAAATGAATTGATCAGTAGGGTCTCAGAAGACGCTTTGCTAACTTTTTGACTACTTAGGTAAGTCCGTCCTGGTAGGTCCTAGGTAAGTACGTTGAATGTTAAGATTGAAGAAAATTATCATTGTATAAAGCTGCACGTGTAATTTGATAACTTGATTTTCAAGTACTTACTTGTAACTATTAATTTTAGATCCCCTCAGGCCGGTGACCACGGTGTCTGTAAACGTGATCTTCAGCGCCGGATTGTTGACCTCCACGGTGCCCAGTTGGACCGGGTCTAGGGGTGCTATTCCCAGCTCAGCAATGCCATCAGCGAACTTTGGAGCCACCACTTCTATCACTTTTTGTATGCATTCGTTGAGGTTTGGATCTGACGCTGAGCACGGACTGATGAAGGAAGCTGGAACAAATTATTTTATGTTAAAAATATTCTATGTTCGTGGAAAATAATCGATTTATTTCTGCCTAAGAAACTAGGATACGGTTCCCTCAATAAAGTTTCCCGTAAATACTAAGGTTTACATCAATAAATAAAATTAAGTATGATTTCGAACTAGAGGTTTGTGTTAGGTATAATAGGACTTTCAACATTCCTTGTTTGTTTGTTTAAGTGAATTCTGAAATGGCGGGACCGTTTTTAACGACAATTTATTTGGAGGATGTAGAATTTATACGAAATATTTAGACTGTTGTGCTATTTCTTGGAAACATTCCTTGGAAGGCCAAAAACAAATGGTGCTATAGTCGGATTTTTAATTAGACGAAGCCAGCTGACAGTAGCTAATGTCACTTTGTGAAATAATGTTGCTATATTTAAAGTAATAGTGATGCGTTCAGTTCTTGCTCAATCACATGAATGAACAATGAGTGTGAAGAGTTAATCATTAATTTCAAATTATAAAAGAATATAATTTATATTTTACAATGAAATTGTATTAAAGTGCTCCAAAATATGTTACTAGTAGTATGTAACTACTGTTTTTTTTATTTTCATTACCTACCTATAATTGTTCTATTTTATACATCTATAGTTTCAACTATATGATGTATTGGAAATAGGACAGTGTTACAAGCTTCCTCGCAATGTTTTTCTTAATGTTTAAAACACTCGATATTCGGTACAGGTAGAAACTATAGGAAAAAAAAAAGAAAAAAAAAAACATAATATTTTGCCCGTATAATTAAACCCCGTACCCGATATCGGCAATTCGGCACACCGACTATTCACTAGACAATCGAGGCAATTTCATTAATTCAGGAGTTTTTTCAATCGTTCACTTTGTCACAACACTATTTTTATTTCATCAAAACCTGTCAACACAGTAAACGTCAGTTGACTTCGTCTAATAAAAAATCCGACTATAGTTTCTTCACAATCGGAGGAATGGTTAAGGAACGCATACAGGACAAACACACGAACATTCATTTTATTTATTTATATAGGTATTTTTCGTGTAATATTTAGACTTTCTGTGTACGAATAATTGACAAACTTTAGAACGGCGGGGAACCAAGGTGGAGGCACCAATACATCTAATTAGTGATACCCTGTAACATGTGTGTAATCATATATTTACGTATATTTTGTTTATAATGCAAATCAACAAAAATAAACAAATGAGTTGCTTTTATGAATATCAATAAAAATAACAAATAAAACGAATGAACAATTTATTTTGGTAGACATCTCATTATTGTGGATTTACGTGTATTCAGATTTTTGTTTGTTTAGATCTTTGTTCGCGCCAACAGCAAACAGAGTAACGAACACATAACACCACTTAAGACGGTTGCAATAAAATATATCACAATATATACATATTTAAGTTGGCAAATATTGCGATTTGTAAATGCTAGTCAGAACATTTGGTGTAGAAACAAAGTTCTGTAGTCAAAACTTGGCCAAGGTAAGTCTAGATTCTCCGCGAGGAAATTCAATGGAAACTACCAGTTTCTTGTTTTGTTTTTCACATTTTAACTTGAAGTCGACAGGCTATTGGATATCAGCATCCGAGTAGTTGATTTGATAATTATAGATTAGTTAATGAGTTCTAAACAAAATAATGATATTAGTGTGGTTTGTTATTTGTATTCTCGGTATATTATGCTCCGAACACATAAAAGTCAAACACACCAATTAAACAATATATATAATGTAATATGTGTACAATGTTCTATTATAAAGTAAAAAGAGTAAACAAGTCGCTAGGCACTACAAGACACAAATTAAAACTAAAATTATAATACGTTTTACAATCAACATAAATCGACGCGCGCGAATCTGATAGCATGACGTCAAGGGACACCTGCACGTTCGGGAACTCCGATCGCATCCGATGACGCCCGAGTGCAACCGAATGTTGCACGCTACATTAGAAATAATTTACAATATAGGGTATTAAGACAACATTGGACTTCAGCATCAATGTCACTATCCACTGCGCGGAGGGCAGGAAAGCGTGGAGGAACGTAGTGAAAACAACAGTTCTCCGTAAAGGTCACGACCCTCAGCACTGAGAAACACGTTACAAGGAGGAGGATAGTTGATTAATATTTTATCATTTAATGGCTAAAATAGGTAGAGGAGTGACCCGCCTTGTGGTTAAGTGGTAACTGAAGACTAAGCATATTAGTAACGTGAATAATAAAATTATAGTTATTATAAAAATAATTTAAATTCATTTATTTATTTGTCTCATAAAGGTACAAATAGAGATTAACCTTATAATTTATTTTGTTAGCTTTTCAAAGCTTCTTAGTTTAGGCTTTTTTAATATATTTTTTATTCCTTAGTATGGTGGACTAGCTCACAACTCACCTGGTGTTAAGTAGTTACTGGAGTCCATAGACATCTACAACGTAAATGTCGCCACCCGCCATGAGATATGAGTTCTAAGGTCTCAGTATAGCTATAACGGCTGCCCCACCCTTCAAACCGAAACGCATTTCTGTTTCACTGCAGAAATAGGTGGGGTAGTGGTACCTACCCGTGCGGTCTCACAAGAGGTCCTACCACCAGTAATAAATACTTAGGTTAGGTTAACGGATGTCGCGGACTAGTGTTGAGAGAACATGTGTGTGTCGGCATGTATGTGTGTATATACATAGGTATGAATGAACGAATTGGGCTCAGAAATCAAAAAGCAGTTCACTTCGCAGTCTATACATTATTTGAATATTGCCATTCACCTCGATAGACGAGGTCAAGGCACTTTGTGGTGTTGTCTAAAGGTTGCCGCACTCTGATTAGAAAAGTTTAGCTCTTTCGTCGCAGAAAATACCAAGATGGTAGCACCTTAGGTCTAAAAAGAAAGTTTAAGTTGATATAGGTATTGGTATATCGCTCCGGCTGTGCTGATGGTACCGTTAGCAGCAGCACATGGGATATTTAGGTACACACATTAAGTTTTACTGAGCTTTAAACAACCATTACGTATAAACTTTATATATGTGTGTAAGTAGGCAGTGACTTGGCTCTGCCCCTGGCATTGCTGAAGTCCATGGGCGACGGTAACCACTCACCATCAGGTGGGCCGTATGCTCCTCTGCCTACAAGGGCAATAAAAAGAAAAGAGAGAGGTCATCCCTGTTTTCCAATGACAGCACAAGAGCGCATTATGCGGCATAATGCTCAACGTTGAATGTTCCAACTACAGCAACGCTTCGCACAATCGAGTCGGTATCGATTGCGAGTATCACGCGAGAGCAGTACTTTTGAGAGTGCTCGATTGTGCGAAGCGTTGCTGTAGTTGGAAAATTCAACGTTGAGCATTATGCCGCATAATGCGCTCTTGTGCTGTCATTGGAAAACAGGGCATCTCATCACGGCTGGCAGCCCCGTAGCAATATAGATATTTGTTAAAGTGTCACCACTACTTGAAATTGCCTACATATTGGAAGTTGTTACGATTCGAAACGATTCAGAAAGGAGATTCTTATCTATTTGCTTTTTTAGAATTTCCGATATTTTATTTCAAACCAAGTGGGATAATAACGTTTTAAATTTTACCGTCACGCCACGGTAATTGTGCTTACGGATACTAAGTAGCCCTGATGGTCGCTTGAGGTAAATTTTACTAATAGTTCCTTTGAATTGCGTTTACTTTACTAAATAACTTAAGCGGTGTACTTATTGAATTGTATTGTCTTTTTTCGACCATTATGTTATTTCATTGTTATTTTACAGATTACATTACATTAACTTAGAGCCACATTAGTGTTCTGTTGTAAGATTATTTCTATTGTGCTAATATCTAATTCGATGCGAATCGAAATTCTATGATTGAATCTGATTAAGATTAGTCTAAAAGCAGAATTTATTTCTCATGTCCTACACTATATTATATATTATGTACTGCTGGTAGAGCGTCTTGTGAGTCCGCACGGGTAGGTACCACCACCCTGCCTATTTCTACCGTGAAGCAGTAATGCGTTTCGGTTTGAAGGGTGAGGCAGCCGTTGTACTGTAAAAACTAAGACCTTAGAACTCATATCTCAAGGTCGGTGGCGGTATTTATGTTGCCACTGACCTTGGGTCTATGGGCTCCAGCCGTGAGCTCGTCCACCCATTTTAGGAATAATAATAAAAAAATAATTAAATAGGCAATCTAGCATAGCTGCTAGTGTCTAAATGGAGTGATAAAAATTTAATTTTGAATCCAAGTCGATACAGATACAGAAATTTCATTCTATTATAATAATTTTAGTGCTAACACTAACAATGAGGATGTAGAGACGCGAATATCGAAGTGAAGCAACCATAATTATATTCTGCGTATTGTTTTAATTAAAACATTTGAGATCTCGAAGCGCGCTCGTCGCAATGCAGTCCGCTCGGGAGTTCGTGTCAATGTCGCGTCTTGTGTAACACCGGCGCTCACGTGTCGACGACGGTCAGCTGTCTCTGGCTTACCGTTGCGTAAGTCGCTACAAGATCTTACAGCTCGCTGAGATCTTAAGGATAGAAGGCTCGAATGCTTCACTCGCAATAACTTTTGTAAAATAAACATTAAACTTTATAAACCGGTTACTGATGAGATAGCGTTGCATCCAATAAAATATGTAAATATGTTATTCATCTGCTTAAAGTGACTTAAATTACAATAAAATTATTATTTTCTTCTCTAAACAAAGCAATTGTTTTATGGTAAATTAGTAATGACATTCCGATAAATATTAACTACCCCTTAAGGAATCCTGTAAACGTTAAGGTCCGGCTTTATACAAATCACGCAATAAAAATAATATTTCACAAGGAGGCATAAAGAATTAACCGCACAACAATTTTGAACACCATTCACTAGAAAGTTGTACATTTTTAACCAAAGTATCAAGATCAACCGGTGCTAGTACAGTATGACCGCGAAAGATGTTGTAAGGCGAAGATTAGATCTTCAAACTTCGATCTTCTACGTTTTCTAGCTATGTAGATGTACTTATTTATGATCGAAATTGAAGTTAATCTTTATGAACTGCTCATTTAAGGTATTTAAAGAATCTGGGACATTTCACGATAATCAAAATCATAATATAATATCATAATTATGAGGACACAAACATCTTTTTTTTTTTTTTTTATTGCTTAGATGTGTGGACGAGCTCACAGCCCACCTGGTGTTAAGTGGTTACTGGAGCCCATAGACATCTACAGCGTAAATTCGCCACACACCTTGAGATATAAGTTCTAAGATTTCAGTATAGTTACAACGGCTGCCCCACCCTTCAAACCGAAACGCATTATTGCTTCAGGGCAGAAATAGGCGGGGCGGTGGTACCTACCCGTGCGGACTCACAAGAGCTCCTACCACCAGTAAAAAACATCTACTTAGGTAAAGAACGAGTCGTGAAGGAATATGAGCCTACTAGTAGTATTTCTAGATCAAACTATACTATTAACCATTAGGTTTTTACGTGTATTCGTAATCATCAATTAGTTGGTGAAAGCTGAATTCAAATATCCATGAAATTAAGCATTATATTACATAACGCTATGAACATAGAGGTCAAACTTACATAAATCGTGCAAAATATTAGGTTTTATTGTTGTAGACAAAGATTATTCTTCGTTCAATTCTATTTTTCAGCTCCAACGTTTAACTTTCATATGTGATCTAACATAGTTGAAACATTACTTTATGTCTGTTATAATTATATATATTTACTTTCTCATACACTCTGCGAAACACCGTGCCACATGGCGTCGCATCGCGAGAGCATCGTTATCGCAGGATCCGACTGATGCATGACCACGACCACTCTGTCAAGAGTGTACGACTAGGAAGAAGAAATACTCATTCTAGTGTCCTTTATAACAATGACAGAATATGGCAACTAATGAAGCAACTATGACGTCTTAATTACAACAGAATGCCACGATTGCTGTACGAAGTTACGGCTTAAGACACGCCATCAGCTGTGAAATGTTTTAAAACGCCACGGCATTGTTACAATATAAACTGTTTATCAACATATTATTATGAACATTAAATTAATTCGTACTCATCATAGTATCTTAGAATTATTTTTTCATTATTTTGTTCTCTTTTTTCTCTCTGAATCATTTTAAAGGGTTTCATTTAACTTTATATTTACCATAAATACCTTTCATATAAGGCCTCATTAATGAAACATTACAATTTATCTATATAGTGTCTGCTTTTTATGTTTTTTTTATAAAACCTTTTTACATGTCAATTTTCTTCAACTTTCTTTTTGGCAATAATCTCTCATTGTTCCTTTCTTTTTCGACTTCCTCCGAATAGGTTGAATTCTTTCTATTTAGATGTGATAGTGGCCTTTTAAATCGCCACAACCAAATTCATCATGTTTTAAATAAATTTCGTCTTTAATATCATCACTTCTTTGGAATACAGCTACTCGTAAAAGTGCGATTATCTCACGTGTCTAAAGAAAGCTCGGAGTACGTTTACAAAACTGGTTTGGCATATCAAGATTTACCACTGATTAAACCTTTATGCAGTTTGGAAGGTCGACAAGTATATTCTTATTTTCCATAAACACGCGTGCCTTTAAGGGTGCTTATAATTACTTAATTGTTTACCGGCATACGAAGAGGGGGTGAGGGGTATTATAGTGAATTCCTCTGGTAGTCGAAAGCAAGTAATAAATTAAAAACACGCGTATATAATCTTCAAGATTCATCTTCCGACATAAAAAAGAACACGACGTCTGCGGACTACGAACGTAATTAAATTCTTTTTTTTTATTACCACGGGAACAGACTCATACGTCCTTCGAGTATAGCCAAGCAGCTTACTACCACCCAGGACTCTTTTTTAACTTTATTTGAAGAAGGAAATGTAAGCGCTCAAAAAACCGCGGATGAATCGCAGAAATGCAATTGCAATTGCTCCGTAATTGTAATTACATGAACAAAATGGTCTGCGACAACGATAAATCTAAAGTACATATTCGAAATGTAAAAAAATGTAAATTAAAACAATAATATTTATAAAAAACGCAAGAGTAAAAACCGTTAAAGTTGTGGGACTTTAAACTAACACCACAACACCTATCGCTTTGTAAGATTGACCTCATTCTCCGTCAAATTATTAATATTAATGAATTGCCCAACTTAATCGGAACCTACCAAACTTACCGAATTTACTAAATGGAAAGTTTTTGTGAACAGTGAAGTGAATTTTACTGAAATTGAAAAAAATGTTTATTTATATACAGGTAGGTTCGATCTAGTGTTAGCAGGCTCGATAGAAATGATTGTGTACTTAAAACAAATTACAAATCATATTCAATTCAACTCAAATCAATCACATACGAAGGCTTAAAAAAATTTATTACGAAAAAGCATAATAAGTTTCCACATTATGTTCCTCCGAATCACCCCCAGGATCGAATCACCAGATGATACATTCTTTTCAAATTCAGAATCACTTATTTTCATGCTTTCACCATTATTAACGGACTTCAAAAAAGGAGGAGGTTCGCAATTCGACTGCATGTTTTTTTTATGTTTTTTATGTTACCTCATACCTTTTGACTGGATGAATCAATTTTGTTGATTATTTTTTATTAGAAAACTGACGCTTCCCGTGTGGTCCCGTTTCAATTTAGTCCAGTTCTGATAATGGTATCCATGAGAAAACCATATAAGTCTTAAAAGTGCATTAAGTAGATACGCGACAAATAGATGAATAAGTCAATAACTCAATATCACGCCAACCGATTTTGATGATTATTGTTTTTAGTGTATATTACTTTGTTTTGGAATATCTTTTTTTCTATTTGAAGTCAGTTTTTGTTAAAGCATGTCTACACAAGTCAGGTAATAATCTTTATATATAAAAATGAATTGCTGTTCGTTAGTCTCGCTAAAACTCGAGAACGGCTGGACCGATTTGGCTGATTTTGGTCTTGAACTATTTGTCGAAGTCCAGAGAAGGCTTTAAAGGTAGATAAATATGAAAAATTTCGGAATGAAATAAAGTTTAGGTCTTTTATTTATCGATTGAGGCACTACGAAGTCTGCTGGGTCAGCTAGTAATGAATAAAAAAAGATAAGCCTTTCAAATCAACGGCTCTAAGCTAGGAGCTAAGTTTGTCTTAAACGTATGTACCGCAAACACATATTTAAGAAGACAAAATAGAAAATAAGACCTCTATTATATTTTTAGCAAAATTTCGACTCCGATCTCGCAGTCCGCGCTACTCATTAGTAATAGAACAACAAAATCATCGATTAAACAATTATTAAAATATGTATTAAGAAAGGTAAAATATGTATTATAGTAGTGTACTTTCTTCGTGATCCCTATCGATAAAACCGCATTCATTTATTTATTTATTTATGTACACAGAAAAGAAGACATAGTACAGAGTAATAGGAAAATTATGTACAAAGGCACTGCTTATTTCTTTAAGAAATATCTTCCAGCAGACCTTCATCTGTGACACAGGGCTAATAATCTAGAAAATAAATATTGAATTTAATGAGAAAATTAAAAAACTGCTTATTCATTTACTTATTGATGTATTCCAATAAGCTTTTAACCAATTTATCCTTAAGCTCTCGCATTAGGCAGAAGTTGATAGGATAGCGACCTCTTTATTTGCGGGTTTTACTCTAGGAACTACTTAATAACTTTTAGGAATACCAAAAACACAATAAAAACTTACGTAAATTCCCCGCTGAAATCTCGGTCGCGGCGACGACAGCCATCAAACACCACACTATCATGGTGATTCTATTAATTTAATCAACTGAAGTGAATGCAACGTGCGTCCGTCTGACCGACTGGTGGACTGTGGTGCCGCTCAAGTCGAACCCGCATTTATATGTTACGCAAGACAGTTTGCAGTTAGCGTACATATTTTTCGTTCATTACTACTTTAGGCTGATGTTTTATCCTGTAGTTGACGTCGAAACCTTTTTACCTTTAGCCGATTTTTTTTATTGCCCTTGTAGGCAGACGAGCATACGGCCCACCTGATGGTGAGTGGTTACCGTCGCCCATGGACTTCAGCAAGGGGCAGAGCCAAGTCGCTGCCTTCCGCTCAATACTCTTGCGATTACGATAAGATTACACGGTGTGTATGTAACAGTTCCCGGAAACAGAGAGGGGTGGTGAACTAATACGATAATCTAAGCACGAACCCTTCGTCGCAAGCGATGGGTTCGACGACAACGGTGACCGGTGCTTGAGCTACCAAAAAGCACCATTAGTGGATCGGGAGGATCTGAAATGACGTGTTTGGGGCGACGTCGACTGCTTTCCATTCTTTCCGCAGGATATGGAATGTAGTTACTGCCGGCCACGATGAGAGGGTTCTCGTGTCGTGCCGCTTTATCAAAGTGGCGCATCGACGCCGACTGCAGATACTTATTGATGGACTCTAAGTCCAGGTCGTCATGGAGGTCGACGTTCCTGACGAACCACGGGGCTCCAACGGCTATCTTGCAAAAACGGGATTGAATAACTTGAAATGATTTTAGGTGAATGCGCGCCGCGTGAGCGAACACTGCACTTGGATAGGTCATGACGGGGCGTATGCAAGTTTCGTAGAGTGTCACCTTATTTCTAAGGGACATTTTACTTCGCTTGCATATCATCGGGTAGAAATGAATGCACCAGACGTCTTAACCTTTAGGCCACGATGACTTCGTTAATGTATTGTTATAGTGAAGATCTTAATGTTCATTACATGGATTTATTTAATGTTATTAATTCTGAATTTAGTGCCATCTTTACTTCTAAAACTCTGATCTTACATAATAAAAGATCATTCAATGAATGGGCCACTGTTGGAATTCACAAAAGTAGGCAGAGATTATATGATCTCTATCATGAAAAATCATATAATCATAATAAGTCATTTCATGAGTATGTCTCTAAATATTCCAAGGTGTTTAAAAAAGTCTGTACATTGGCCAAGTCATTGCACTTAGGCAATCTTATAAAAAATGCACCTGACAAAATTAAAATGACTTGGAATATCATTAATAGGGAGACTGGGAATGTTAGAAACAGCAATGCTGAATTAACTTTGAAAATCAATGATCGAATAATAACTTCTCATCAAGAAGTGGCCAGTGCCTTTGAGCATTACTTTGCTGATATCCCGGGTTCTACTACAAAATCTTTAATTTCATCTCCTACCGTCGCCGAATCATTACTGCAAGATCATGTTGATAAATGCAGTGTTAGCTTTAAGTTCACAAATATTGATATAAAGGACATAATTGATAATTTCAAGCTCATTAATATTAAGAAAACTGGTGATTTATGGGGAATTTCAATTAAGGTTATAAAATCCATTATTGATATAATCGCACCTTACCTTGCTACAATATTTAATGACTGTATTGATTGTGGTATGTTTCCTGATCTAATGAAATATAGTAAAATAATACCTTTGTTTAAATCTGGTAGTACTTTTGACCCCTCTAACTTTAGGCCCATATCAGTACTACCTACATTGAGTAAAATTTTTGAAAAAATTATTTTGGAACAACTTTTGAACCATTTCAATTCCAATAACCTGCTTCATAACAAACAATATGGATTCACTAGAGGTCGGTCAACTATTGATGCAGGTGTAGATCTTATTAAAAATATTTTTCAGGCTTGGGAAGAGTCGCATAATGCCCTTGGGGTATTCTGCGACTTATCTAAAGCTTTTGATTGTGTTGAGCATAATACATTGTTGAGGAAATTACACCATTATGGTATTAGGGGCGTTTCATTAGAACTTATTAAATCTTATTTATCCGGAAGAATCCAAAAGGTAGACGTTAAAGGAACGAGATCTTCCGGTGTCTTACTTAATATGTGTGTTCCTCAGGGTTCCATATTGGGTCCCTTCCTATTTCTTGTATATACCAATGATTTACCAAAGTTTATTGAAACCCGTCACGAGGTCGTATTATTCGCTGACGATACATCATTATTGTTTAAAATTAAACGACATTTGGAAGATTATGACGATGTGAATGATGCTATCTCGCGCGTGGTACCTTGGTTTAGTGTTAATAATCTGTTATTAAATAACAAAAAAACAAAATGTATAAAATTTACCACACCTAATGTTAGACAAGTAGACACTAATATTACTGTAAGTGGAGTGCTTGTGGATTCGGCAGTTTTTCTTGGAACCGGTGGTAGAGTTAACATTGTTATTTGTATTTTGACATTCAACATGTGTGTCATACTGACATCTAAGTCGAAATAAATGATTTTGAATTTGAATTTGAATTTGTATACTTCCCTTCCGATGCTGGTAAAGCTAAATAGCAAATAAAATCACATGTCAATAATTCAACCTAATTGTGTGGTCGAATTCACCTTGACCGTTCAAGTTCGTAAAGTACATATAACTTAATTACTGATTATTCTGAGCACGCATCAATTACACGACCTGGGACAACATACATTATTTTTAAATTTTTTTATGCATTTTTTGTCAATATTTTGTCGCGTTTGTCCTTCATCGTGCCCTCATCGTATGAAATAATATCACTATATGTGCTTTGGTTTCTATGGGCTTAATTACAAGTAAGTTGCATAATTAATGTGAGTCCCAGGTTCGACAGAGTTCGAAGATTTCTACGTGTAACCTAATCCATAGACACAACCCACTGAGTTTATCGCCGGATCGTCTCAGTGGGTCGCGATTCCGATCCGGTGGTAGATTCAGTGAAACACTGATCTTCCTAGGGCAGATGTTAGCAAACCGTTTCAGGCTAAGCCCCGTGATCTCGATCATCGCTCAAGGTGATACCAGAATAGCCCCTTGAGACTACTGATAGATAGGTAGGAAAAAAGTATTACATTTAACCATTTTCGAATATAGATCTTAAAGATAATCATAAACCCTTCAACTTGCATGATACTTTTGCTGACTCGCGTGAAACTTCTGCTGATAATATATGGATATATGACATTGAAGTCGTTGTGGCCTAAAAGATAAGACGTCCGGTGCATTCGTGTTGAGCGATGTACCTGTGTTTAAATCCCAGGCGGGTACCAATTTTTCTAATGAAATACGTACCTACTCAATAAATGTTCACGATTGACTTCCACGGCGAAGGAATAACATCGTGTAATAAAAATTAAATCCGCAAAATTATAATTTGCGTAATTACTGGTGTTAGGACCTCTTGTGAGTCCGCACGGGTAATTACCACCACCCTGCCTATTTCTACCGTGAAGCAGTAATGCGTTTCGGTTTGAAGGGTGGGGCAGCCGTTATAACTATAATGAGACCTTAGAACTTATATCTCAAGGTGGGTGGCGCATTTACGTTGTAGATGTCTATGGGCTCCAGTAACCACTTCACACCGGTGGGCTGTGAGCTCGTCCACCCATCCAACCAATAAAAAAAAGGATAGGATAACATTAATATTCTATGGGATCAAAGAGCTAAAAATGACGATGACACTATGTTTGACATTAAGTGCAGTATTTGTTGAAATGAGTTCGTTCACCGCATTAAGTTTATTTAGGTCGAACAAGACAAACACAAATCACTCCGGAGATTAACTTGTTGGATTTAAGAAATAAAATAATTCTCTTGTTATGTGAGTGTTTGTCAGTAAACACTTTTTATTTTATTTTGCGAGTTGACATTGAAGACGGTCATTCGAGCGCAGGGCTCAGGACCAGCAGTTTGCTTAGTGTGAGTTGTCTGACGTTCTCGATCGCGTAAAAGTTAACTCAAATTTGTATCTGAACGATCCTGAACTTGCCGATCGGCTAGATCCTTTGGCACTGCGTAGGGATCTATCTTCCCTATGCATACTTTACAGAATTTACAATGGGGAGTGTTCCGAGGAGCTGTTCAATTTAATAGAAGCTGCTGATTTTCGCAACCGATCGTCTCGCCGGAACTATCATCCGCACCATCTGGATGGTTGGCGTTCCACTACAATGCGTGTTAAAAACAGTTTTCTGCCACGCACAGTAAATCTCTGGAATTCGTTGCCATCAGCGGTCTTCCCCAACAACTGCGACATTGGGTTATTCAAGAAAAGAGCATATTCTTACCTGAAGGGTAGGCAACGCACTGGCGTAAACGCTGGTGACCGTGGGCGGCGGTGAATCATTTACCATCAGGTGACCCGTCTTGCTCGTTTACCTCTCGTAGTTATAAAAAAAAAAAAAAAAATGCAGTTGGAACAGCGCCCCTAGCGGCAAACGTAAGCAAACGTTCCAACTCCATACAAATTTGAGTGAACTTTTACGCGATCGAGAACGTTAAAAAACTCACACTAAAAAACTCACAGGCTCTAATAGTTTTGGGAATAATTTATATCTTACGATCCAAGCAGTAGATCGTATGTCGTAAATTTGGTTTTTTAACCTTTAAATTGGTGATTGTGCTCACGGCCACCCTGACGTTAAGTGGTTACCGAAGCCCATGGACTCCACGAAGTCGAAGAGTCAATTGTATAACGACTGTCCAACCCTATAAGCCCATTTAATTTGGCGGTGGAATCAATTTGAGACCAGACGTTTACCAGACGTGAGACTACCTCCCGGATTAGGAGGAGGAATCTCACACCCCCGATTACTCTCTTTAGACAACCCATACCCTGGGCCAGGAAGGTCAAGTACCTGGGCGTTACCCTGGATGCATCGATGACATTCCGCCCGCATATAAAATCAGTCCGTGACCGTGCCGCGTTTATTCTCGGTAGACTCTACCCCATGATCTGTAAGCGGAGTAAAATGTCCCTTCGGAACAAGGTGACACTTTACAAAACTTGCATAAGGCCCGTCATGACTTACGCGAGTGTGGTGTTCGCTCAC